GTTATAGGGTTACCAATAAAAACTGGAGCTGAAGGTTGGTGTATTGTAAGGGAGTATGGTCAAGCCGAATTCTTGAAAACTATCAAAGGAATTCATGAGGTATATATGACTACATTGTTTGCCCTTCAAATATGTCGTGTCTCTGGAGTAGGCTGAAAGATGATGTCCATTTGTCAAAACATTTGGTGAAAGTGCTTTCCTGAAGGCTGTTTAGCATGAAAAGCTAGAGATTTTCGATTGATGAACAGGACGGATTCTTAGTTTTCCACAAAGTGCTTAAAAGTTAGTACTACACAATACATAGCTAAATCTTGATTAAATCTCCCTCAACCGTCTCGAAAAAAATATCGAAGAATGCAAAATGCTGTTTACCCACTTTTATCAGGAACTTGCTGAGTCGGATGTACCTACGGTCACATTATTGGCTGTTTTAATGTGCTAGTTTGGTCGACCTGACTATACGTAATACTTTCTTTGTAATGTCGTTCAGTTTGATGACTTTCGCACTGTCATAAGTAGGTTTGTTAACGATCTAATTAAGGGCGCATAATTTAGTATGATCCGTCAGCGTAAAATGTGTGATTTTTATTGGTTTTGGAAGTGTTGTAACGGGTGGATTTCAGATTATGGAGCAGCGTATTTATCGATCGGATCAGTGACGAGTGAAACACGTACGGATGACCTAGAGTTCTGATTGATCCTGCTTCGCTGTCTAACCCAGCCAGTTGAGTTCAGAACACAAGTCACAGCCTCTGAGATATGAATCATTGTATTTCAGACATACTCTATTTATATACCAACCAAACAGACCACATCGTACCATAAAAATAGAAAACAACATCTGTACAATATTTAACGAGTGAAATAAATAATGGCCAATAGGGAATGTCCATTTAAAGTCCGAGGACATCATTAGACTTAACATGATAATGATTGGTACATTCCTCTGCATCCATAACAGGAAGACTCTGGGTTGATTGTCGATGATATGCCCGCGAAAATCTATGGAGACGGCACCGATTTGATGTCCTCGAGTCTTTAAAATAATTCTATATTTTCAGGATTGGTGAAAAACAAGGTCGTCATGCTACGAATGGAATTTTCGGCGAGACTCTAATTTAGGGACGACCTTTGAACTAATCTTAAATGACCTTGACAATTATTAGCCAATCAGAGGACAGTTAATGTAGAGTAAAAATGTATTATAAGAAAGTAATGAATTACAGTGGATAGTCTTCTTCTACACGATTTAAAAACTTGTTAAGGTTTGATAAAGGTTCAGAAGTCCTGAAATCACAATGCCCACGGTATAGAAACTCGTCCATATGGCTCCGTAATGGTTGTCCTCTAGAGCCGTGATGTGGTCTTAAAAATTCCTTCGGTCTGGACCACATAGCTTCAGTATTATGAGTATGGACTGCAGTCGTAGGGTCGACGAAATGGCGCTTGTGCACTACTACATGATGCACATATCCAAGTCTATGTAGGAACCTGTAAGCTTGCCAATCATCCGTATATACTGTTGTGCCCGGCTGCACGTATTCCTGTACAATTAGTATCAATGTGTTTGCTTGCCAGTTTCTGACCCTCTGAAAACGTCCCTTTTGCGTTGATCGGTCTAAATTCCAAGTACCTGTCAATTATATTTATGGAAATGCTACTTACCCATTCTTCCTTGATACTACGTCCCCTGTTGTATTTTCGCTCTCATACTACCGTTTTATCTATCTCCACAATTCATCCTACTCCTCCGAATGACTGGCGTAGGCGTGTCATTTTACTTGCACATATGTCACGGCAGTACTCATACCACTGGACTGCTGAAGTTTCAGTAACATCTGCAAACGCCGCAGCAAGTGTCACTGGTGTCTTTATTACCCAATTTGCCACTATTACCATGATCTGCCCTAGTGTCAGTCGCGATCGAGCGAAGAAAGCCCCCGTTCGAGCAGACTTTTTCCTCCAGCATGAAGAACAACGAAACATAATCTTACCACGATGGTCTGCACACTTTGCTGCAGTCATTTGATAACCGCAGTCGCACGTACAAGAATTTCTTAGTAATCACATCTGTTGTAGCCTCTCAATAATCACCTCTTCCCTAAAATCCGTTGTAAACCGATCGTATGTTAGCATCACGTGTTGAACTTGGCTCCGTGACCTTGAAATTGCTTAAACGCTTCTTATCGACTCGCCCTTAAATTAGTGTCTCGCCGAATTTTCTATCAGGCAGTCAGCAATATATTCTTTTTGAACGACCGCGTGTGAAGAGCATGCCCAAAGGCTTTTTGATATTTGGATTATCCTCATTCCCATGTACAGTTGGAGATACTTATCGATTATCAATTGACAGCACGGACCTCACATATGCATAATTGTGACCGGGCATAACATACAACCAGAAGATGAAACTCCATAAACGGATGACTCATTATTTGCAACTACTAACCTTAGTTTGCTCGAACTAGTGAGTTAGTCGTGGCGTTGTATAAGGTTTATACTGTCTGTCGTAATTGTCAAACCTGAAACGACAAAACTCAAGTGAAAGATTTTTTCCAAATTAACGTCAGTGTAAATAAAACTTTTACTGCCAGTGTAGCCCGTTTTTCGATTTCCAGCCTGTAAACTTTTAGATGATTAATATCATTGTCAGGAAAAACGTAAACTCTGTGCCAGTGTCATTGAAACAGTATACCTCCCTTATCACATTAGACATTAGTAACAAATATCTTTTTTCTCCAAACTCATGAAGTCCTCTTAACGTTACTACTAGTGAAGTGTGGTTTAGAGAGGATGGTTAAAATCAATTTACCAACCCTCTAAAAGTTGAGATGTATGAACACGACGCTCCTGTAACTTAAGTCAGAAATCAAAAACAATAATGGCATTTTACGACCACTGGAAAGGAGGGCTTAGGACAGAGTCACTAGCCTCAACGTATTGGCCCTTATGCTCCACGGGTAGCTGGCGTAAGTAGGTAAATAACGTCCACCAGCGACAGTTGATATCATTATTACTGTCGCCGAACTATGTCGCCGCAAGATGTTGTGAAAAAGTTGATCCAACACTTGTCGTGCAGTTGGGTCTCCATGTTCAGAGACGGCAATTTTTAAGAATAGAAAGGCTCAGAAGCATCGTTAGTAAACAAAGTACGTGTAATGTACTTGTTTAGCTCGTGCAGTGTTGTTTCCACTACGATGAAGGACTGAACAAGAGAGTCGGTTACGCTGTGTTCTAAGAAGTCAGACTATGCACAGCATAAACAGGTTTCGATATTGTTAGGCCAGACTGACAAAATTTTGGGGACAGAGAGCGTGAGAGCTTTGATCCCTCAGGTTATGTCAGTAAAAATGAAATAGGTAAAAATGCGAAAAAAAAATCCAGAACACAAAAGCGATATTACAATATGTGAAAATACGCATATAACACTGACTCAAGAATTAGACTCCCTGCTTATTGTTTGGTGTACCAGAGAGAACTAAAGCTCACAGCCACTGGTAGATGCTTGACAAAGCTCCTTCAGCTTGGGCGTGTCCATTTACAGATGTTCAGTTTTTATGTAAAACCCGTTAATTAGTTAGTTAGTTATAATTTTATTACTTCTTTTTATCATAAATCGTTTTACAGCGTTTTATTTTCCCTCGGTTATCTAAAAAGTCGTCATGGGCGTTCGGGTTTTTTCACTTCTAACAGTTCGTAATTGGGCTATAAATTTTAGCTAGGATTTGAGGTTAGGGCTAATGATTAAGGCTGAACAAGTCGTTAAAACCTATCATGTTTTACAGTCCAGAAATACCATTTGGCGAGATATGACACGTGTTCATGAAGTCGTAGCGCACCTGCATCTTAATGTTTAATACGTGCGCAATATCTGGGATTTTTTCGCCCATCAATCGAACGAATAATGCATATAAGGGCACCACTTCTATAGGTGCTTTCAATTCCTTTTGCAATTTCCACTTTCTTGGCTTCTCATATGGTAACATGTGGTGCTCTGCAATGCAATGACTATAGAACACATATGCCAGTAGCTTTAGATAATTAAACTGAGATCCTCACTGAAAATCATACTCGTATATGCAGCGTTAACACGCCAAATGAGTAGGAAAATGATCAAAAGTGGAGTATCTATCGAGACAGTAAGACGTTAAATTCACTCAAAGCCACCCGTCGTTTTGTTTCATTGATCTAGAATTGCCTGGTATGAGTTGATAGCTCTGTACTTCACTTGCCATGTGTAAGTTGGGTTAGGGTTTTTAGTTAAAGTAGAATAAAAAAATCAGTGCATAGAACGTGTAATGACATTTCCCCGTTTCTTTATTGTCCGCATTAGTTCGATTGTCGCTTTGTAAATTGGTCTCGGATACGTATGAAACATGATAAGATTTAAGAAAACAACGTGATAACAATAACTTAAGATTTCTAGAATCTCAAATTTTGTCTAAATCACTGTTTTACGTGAAGTTTGAGACAAAATGTAAAATAACCGGTACATATAAAGCTTCCACCTTAAATGTTAGTAAAACTCCCTTTAGTTAGCAAAGTATTCCTTTTGATAAGTACTCAAAACTGCTTACAGTGCTTAATTTTCTAGTGATATTTCAATAGGGCGAGGAGTTTCGACGTATAATAGTGGTGAAGATGCCACAGGTATTTGGAGTTTGATAACGCTCTAACCAGCAACAAATAATATGAAGCGTACCCACCAAGTGAAGTCAAAAGACAGAGACGAGGAGGTTCGAAGATATACTCGGCAGGTTATCAATATATCGATGATCGTCTGATCTAATCTGGCTAGCGATTGCAGGGGTTGTTGGGCACGGCGTTCCCACCCGTGATCTGGTGCGTATGCATGACCGAGCGCCTTCAGCTAGGTGAGTCCCTTAAAACTAATGCGGCTAGTACTAGATGTCGAAGACTTACAGAGCTGCTGATTTTGGGAATTCATTTCCCGCTGTAGTGGACATTAAGAAAAGTGCAAAAAAGTGGCGCGATGCCATAGTAGGTCTCGCGCCGAAATAGTTTTTCGAAAACTTCAGGAGCTATTTGGCTTGGGGATTTATTTACCGCTGCACCGTCATTAATTCGAGTTGTTGTCCCACGAAATAATTCTCAAAAATGTCACCCAACGCTTTTTCCTCATCACTAAGAAAAACTAAGGACGCAGCAGCTAATTGTTCGTATCGGAATCATCCAACCATTCTAACTTTACCTCTCGTCATTTTATAAGATAACACTGTTCTCTGATTAGCTGATTTGTTCTTCAAGGTCATTACCGGCTTTGTTCAATCAAATGGATGGAAGGATCATTGTATTGCATAGCAGAGCATTTGTTGGTTAACGGGAGTCAGGTCTATTGTTCGTTTTTAGTGAGAAATCAGTCCATTTGCTGTAAGGATTCTCCAATCGGATGATGCCTAATATCTTTCTCACGAATTCGTGAGAAGCGTGAATAACATGCATCTCGTAATTGTATGCCTCTTCATTCCTAGTTCCCAAACTGAGTGCTATGTTTTCCAAAGTACACTTGTGTCTCCCGGTTATAGTTCTTGAGATTTTCTTCATATGCGTGCAAAGTTATGATTTTCCAGAAAGTCCTTATTTCTCGCGGTATGATGGCTTGGATTACTCTCCTGATTCATTCGGTCATCCACATAAAAGAACACGTCGCAGCACCTCAAAAACAAACATACTTTTGCCAATAAAGGCATTCGGGAAATCCTTTCATCTCGTTTTATATCCTGATTATGAAGTAGTTCATCCGAATGCCAAGTTGGTTGTTGGTGGTCGAGAATGGACTGGTGGTCTTCCAGCTGTTTCTGATCATGTTGTCCGGGGATATGTTGACGGATTCACACACAGTGTTGTTTTTGGAAGTGTAATAGACGGAGTGTTTCGGGGCACAGTTTCCTTGAATAAAAGCAATTTATTACATTCGGCCCCTGGATCTTATGATACCTATTTTATTGAACCCTCAGGATATTATTTTAACAAAGACTTTCCGTTCCATTCTGTTATATATAATTCGTTGGATGTCAAGACCCCTACTGTCGGTCAGAGTCGTATGCGTCGCGCAGTCCAAGATATGAACTTTAAGTTTTGCGGATTATCATACCCTAGTATTGCTCAGAAAATGAGTAAAATAAGTTGTATTGATGATCGTAAAAAGCATGGAACTACCGGTAAGCCCCACTTGGAACATTCCCCCCCCCGTGTTCCACTTTAACGTGCCACAGTTTAATGCTCACTCTTTCTGTTTATGTTGAGTAACTGTTCTAAGGCTTTACTTCATGGACAAGCATGTTCAACCTATGTTGCCGACTTACAAGGTCTACAAAATCTATAGAGCACTTAGGTGAATCAGTGTATATATCTGTATTGCGTTTCGTTTCAGTCCCTTTAAGTTTATTTTGCCTGTTTACATCATTTAAATATGTTTCGGTATCTTCGTAGTTTTTAAATCCCAAGCCCAGCAAGGTTGATCAAAACTAAGATAAAGAAAGTTATTCAGTCGCTTATAGTCAGTCTGTGTGTGAACGTGTAAATATATCACAAGTATTCGAAGATCGACAGCGCTTTTACCAGTAGCACTTTTACAATCGAAGTATGCCAACCCAGTCAAATCAGAGGTCAGAAATGGAGTTCGAAGATATATTTGGAAGGTTATCGATATGTCGAGGAACGTTTGGTCTAAGCTGGCTAGTAGTTAAAAGGGACATATAGCACGACTTTGATTTTGTAGATTTATTTACTGCTACACGTGAACTAGTCCCGAAGCAACATTCTATAACTAGCAGGCTCAAATTCTGTAAAGTGCTCATACATTGTTTTAGTAAGTTCTGTTGCGAAAAATGTGACCGTGCGTCCCAAATTAAATAAAAGGAATACCATGTTCAGATTCAGGACTTTCAGAAATGTAACTTGCTTTCTGAGAATCTTATCCTGTATCTGACACCGTCGGGGCCACATTAGGGAAACTTGTGGTAGTAGTTCTTACTTTAATTATATTCAACCTATTTTATATAGGCGATTCTGTTTAATAAACGTGTCATTCTAACCTGGTCATGTATTTTATAACCTTCCTTTGGACCTATAATTTGGTTATCTAGTTAATTATATTCAGATGCCTCTATTTGTTCTTACATTGTGTCTCTCCCATATGTACTCTAATTATATCCCTATAAAGCATCCATAACACCCTATTTATTGATTTATTCACTCGTTCATTGAGTAATTTGTTGCTCTCACTTCAATTCAAATTTACTTCTCTTCGCCTATCTGCCAATGTGGATGCATGAAATGTACACATCTCAAAATACTTTCGTATTTATGTGTTGTAATGATGTGACTCGTCGAGAGAATATATTTAGGAGGTTGACTAGGATATGTATTTCAATAAGATCATAATGCAGTCAATAACGGGCATTAAAAACTTATTATTAAGGTTTCCTGAACTTTTATTCATACCTAGATCGTCATTCTATTATTTACCCTTACACAATAAGTGTATGCCATATTACTATAACTATTAAGCAGGCTGATGTTCTTATGGTTGTCATAATAAACATTTTATCCTTCTTATCGACCAGAATAGTCGATCTTTTGGAATAGCTATGCTCAGCCATAACTTCAGTCAGAGCAATTCTAGACAGTGGTCACTTGTGGTATGTAACTAAATTCCACACGTACTTCACAAAAATTGGTAATATCTGGTAGAAGCATGATATACTAGGAATCATAATATTAGTTGGCTAGTTGGTATTGATGCGGTAGCCTAGTATAGGTGTGTGGCGCATATATATTTGGTGCCTCTTGTACCAATATTTCTGTTCAAATAAATAAATACTAGTATAGGTTAGAGTTTTGCCCATAGATTAGCTTAGTACAGTTTATAATGGACCTTATTTGATCACACGAAGTATTAATAATATATGTATCTAATTTGTTTGTATCCTAAGATCTGAACTCATTCTCTTTCTAAGTCCTCAGGAATCATGAACCATATTTTCCGGAACTTCAGAGTCAATTTGTTCGCTCATTTAAATCTCCACATCTAGTTACCAATAATTCTTTGCCATATACAGATAAAGGACCGAACACGCGGGTTTGTAATCTCTATTTACAGTCAGATACATACCTTTGGGATCATGTTATAAATAAGCCACATATTCAAGGCAACAGGGAGCTTGCTGTCAAAGAAATCACCTCCATTTTTACGCAACACGTTCAGGCCGCCCAGTTGATCTATCAAGATGCAGTTTTCCGTGATCACTCAGTAAGTTGTTTAAAGGGAAGTACGTTTGAGTGAAAAATTGTTTACACTATTTATTTGACTCGACTGTAATTACACAATCAACTGGCTTTTGTCTGGTCAATCAGCTATACATAACTACAGTTAAACGAATCCGATTTCGGGAAGTAGAAAATGGTGGTTTATGATTCTAGTATATTCTAAATTACTTCACGATTGCAATAAACTTTAATTAAAACTTAATTTTACCCGTGTTATACAAAAGGTCTAGTCAATAAACAAAAAATATGAATTATTATTTCTTTTACAAAGTATGGACTTTTTCGTGTAATGCCTTGTTAGTGTCTAGGGCTTTTGTTATTTGGTAAGGTTAGGTGAGTAATTTTTAATTTTCCTTTTTATAACTAAATCTAATTCAGCTTTTTTAATGCTATCACATGCTCATAACTGCTTCCTTATTGTTTAAGTTTGCAATAAGGATAGAATGATTGAGCTATACTAACTAGACATGGTTATCAAGGTGGTTGATATGAGGTTGATCGACTGCCTGCAACTATCATGTACAAAAATAGTTATGTCTGTTACTTTCTGTGACTGGTAATATGGATTATACTATCTTTTTCTTAGTGATTATAACTGACTGATATATGAACGAAGAATGTTCTCGATGAACTCTCTTAGGGTTTTACAATTATATCAAATACATAACCCGAAAAATGACCATGTTTAGGGCGAACTGCATCGTTCAAAGTTACAGCATTTGAATTTAAGATTATTAAGCAAAATAAATTTGTTAATGTTGATATGATTCATATGGAATGGTAATTTGAATTAGCATATATGTTAAGTAAGCTTTTACGACTCATGATCTGAATAAATATGGGTCAGAGAAGGTGGAAGACCTATCAACGACATGAGAACAGGCTGCAAGAGAAGAAAAGATGAGAAAAATATACGACACAACGAAAAAGCTGAGAGGCAAAATTGGCAGACGCTATGGTGTACCTGAGGGTATTGTTACCGTCATATGGACGGACTACAGTGCGATGTCGTGCATGTAGGACAGCTGAAAGATTGATTGCAAGTGGTCTCGGACAAGACTGCCTTCTCTTGGTCTTTCTTTTTCTTCTTGTGGTTGACTAGATTATGAAGACCTCCACATCTGAGGGGAAGCATAGAATACAATGGACAGCTTAGATGCATCTAGACGATTTGGACTTCGCAGATGATTTAGCCCTTCTATCCCATACACGGCAACAGGTGCAGGCAAAGAGCCAGTGTAACAGCAGCCTCTAAATCAGTAGGCTTCAACCTACACAAGGGAAAAAGTGAAATCCTAAAATACAGCACGGTGAGCACCAACCAAAGCACATTTGTTAGAGGCTGTGGAAGAGCTGGAAACGTTTACTAACCTGGGCAGCACGATTGATAAACATGGTTGGGTTGATTTTGATACGGGGGCACGGATTTGGAAGACAAGGGCAGCATTCCTACAATTGAAGAACATATGCGACTCAAATCAACTGTCAGTCGATGGCAAAATTATAATTTTCAACACAAATGTCAAGACAGTTCTGTTGTATAGATCTGGAACTTGATGAACTACCTTATTGATCCGCGATCGAATAATATTGATGTTAGTGAAATATATGTCCTGCTAACTTCGTATATATTCTTTTAACGTATCCTGTTAATAACAAAGTCGATAAGTAAAGTCCAATACAAGGTATTTGAGGAACATATTTCAGATATTCGGTAATGTAGACGTACGGTAAGTGACTAGAAGTAATGCACGTGAACTGAAGTGGCAGAAATAGCTTTGTCAGCGACTTATAATCAATTCAGTCTTTATAAGCATGTAAGAGATACAAGTAAGAATACAGGCGCATTCGCACTAGCTTACTCACATGTATAAAGCATGTTCACGGTTACACGAGTGAAACTGGCCAGGACAAACATATAAATGATACGACAAATCGAAAGATTTGAATGATTTATCTGTCCAAAGGTTAGAACAAATATCGCTTGGGTATGATAACAGAGATCTGCTACGCTACTACAACCACCATCGAAAAAGTATAGGTATTTATAAACACTTGTCTACGCAAGATATTTTATATCCATTGACCAGATACCATCATCAGGAATTTACTGTATCAGAGAATAAACGAGCTTTAAGCTATAGGGGAAATGACGAAAAGTTGCTGGAGGTAGATAGGACACAGACTGCGAAAATCAAACTGCACCACGATACAAACCCTTATATGGAATCCAAAAGAAGAAGAGGAGGACGAAAGAACACATTGCTCCGAGACTTGGAGGCAGACATCAAAAACATGAATAGGACTTAACAGCAACTGGAATGGAGAGCTCAGGACAGAATCATAAAAGAATTGTTCCTGGCAACTATGGTCGATGCGGAGTAACATGCAAAGGTAATAAGAGGGTGAAAATTCATCTTTAAGGGCTATTTTTTTCTATTTTGACAGTTTATCCTCTATCTTCACAGTGATTCGTTTATTGAAAAACCCTAGTAATATGCATTGTGGCATTGCAGATCTTTGTTTCTGTAGTTGTTATTCCCATAACTGGTAACTTTCTGAGATAGTTGTTTCAAATCTCATTATTTTGTCTTCTTTATCACTTATTATGTTTGCTGAATTATGTTAAAGCAAAATGAGATGAAACTGTGCAGCTCTCATAAGTTTTGTTTTTGAAAAGTGAATTCTGATAATATCCATTCCATTGATGATGCAGAGATAATAAATATTGTAGTTGAAATTGGATAGTCTCCTTTTTGTTAATCACTATTTGGTGGTAAGTTAATCATACCGTATCTTTCAGGGATTTCTAACAAAACGTTAGTTCTTTTCAGTGTGTTTTCAAATACCCTGCTTCTGCACCATTCCATTTAATAGTTTCCTTTTTTTCCAGGGCCGTTTAGAATTCCGTGGTGTCAGTTTTCGCGTTGATCGTGTCCTTATCAATGTAACGGAACATGACTGTCGTAATCGTGTATGGAAACCTACGTATCTCCAGGATCGGAATAATTCATATATCTCACCTACTGCCCTACCCCGTGAAACATTTTCGGATCATCTGTCCCTCCATCAGCCAAGTAATACGGATCACTTGAGTTTTAGTGGGGCATATACTGATGAAAATCCTTTTTGTGCACCCAATATTGATGTCACTAATTATCTTAATCTACATTCATACAACAAACATGATGACTTCTGCTTGGCTTATATTTTCACATACAGAGACTTTTCAGGTGGGACTATTGGTTTGGCATGGGTTGCTGAAGTGGGTGGAGCAGGTGGTGTCTGTGAAAAACATAGGCGAATGCAGGAAGGAGATCAAAGTGTTTACAAAAGTTTAAATACTGGAGTTGTAACTCTATTGAATTATGGATCAAAGGTAATCTATCATTAATTTAAACTATCATTTGAAATGACTTCTACACAGTTAAAACATTTCATTATTGCTTTTCCGACTTTTAATTTTAGGTAGCCACAAAGGTATCGCAGCTAACATTTGCTCATGAATTAGGGCATAATTTTGGTGCTAAACATGATAATTTTCATGAAAATGAATCACATGGATGTTTGCCGTCTATTGATGATGTCCGGGGTAATTATATTATGTTTGCTAGTGCGATAAGTGGTGATAAAGAAAATAACAACAAATTTTCCAGTTGTTCACTTGATTCTATTGCCAAACTATTGGATCGTGTTTTACGGGTGCGTGTTATCGAAATCCTCTTAATATTTTTTGTGTGCGTATTACTGTAAAATATTGTTACTTAGTGACAATATGTACCTATCTTAAATCCTTGAAAAATCTATAGGACTAAAAGTGTTGGGGGCGGTTGGGCATACGTAATATATGTCCCAATTGCCTTAGTCGATGAAGATTCACAGCTCCATGAACCAGTTTGCTATTTTGCTTGGTATTTTAGGCCCAATCTCCAACATTGCTTAGTTATTTTGTGATGTTCGAGCAGTGCTTCAAATATGCCTATGATAAAAACCTGTCGCCTTGTATGTTTTCCATTTTCCTAAAGCATGTTTCACAGCTATAAAGTAATATGGAGCGTACATTATTTGCAAACGGATATCTTATGTACACCACAGGTAGGAAAAGTTGCCAAAAACCAACTGAACCTTCTGAATTAGAGACATCAATCAGACAAATCTGATGAACCATTGAAAATGTACATTTTTGTTACCTGGTTCCGTCTGTAATCAGTTTACGTAGTTTTTTCCGTTAAGAAAATATTATGCATTTTAATTCGCATAGCTATATGAATTTTGTTTACTCAGGTAGGGGAGATACTGTTATCAGGCTTTTAGTAAACCTTTTTGACTTTTTACTTAAATGTATAGTTCATTGTAATCATGATAAGTTTTCGGAAATTTTAGTGGTTGGAGTTTTCATTGATTGTTACTGTCTCACTGTTTGAATGAAACATAAATACGTCATAAATAAGCTTAGTTTTAACCGTTAGCATAGTTCATATGTTCGAAAAATTCACAGGAAACCACTCACCTTTAGCTTTGGTCGGCACAGGTGAATTGGCTGTGATAACAAAAGATCACAACAAATTCGACGTTTAACCTTTTAGTCATATAGATTTTGATATTTATAGGTTAGTAACTGGACAATATACTTCTATGGCTGTTATGACTGAATAAAACTGATACGGTTCGACACAATGAAGTAGGTATAACTACAGATGAAAACTTTATTATGCACCAAAAACAGATCCACTACAGAACTTATTATTGATCAAAGCTATATCAAAATACTGAGTTACATCATTTACTTGTCTTATTGGTGACCGATTTTATTCAACAATTCAAGGCATAGATACGATTTGAAACATCTGTAGATTAAACTGTTTCAAGTAAAAAATACAACTAAATTACTGAGTTATGTATTTTTTTTCTTCCGAATAAGTATTTAGTATATTCCTATTTTGTTCTTCGTTCACTAGGTGATGCAAACTCCAACAAATAATTAGTATTAAGAACAGATTTCAAAGGTGATCAGCAATTAAAATAACGACATTAACAATATTGTATTATTTAGATTACTCAGCATTAATTGAGTAAACAGCATAATTTGTAATTAACTCACTATTAAATCCTGTATGTGATGTTTTTACTTTTTCAGGGTGAAAGAAATTGTTTTTTAACTTCAGATGGCCCATTTTGTGGTAATCAGTTGACTGAAGAAGGTGAAGAATGTGATTGTGGTTTCACCAGAGCTAATTGTCATGATAAATGCTGCCATCCAAGAGATTCAACTAGTCCATGCAAGCTGGTCAACAGTGTTTTTATAGATCATACCGAACGTACTGTGAGTTTTATGTATATGCGCTTGTGTTTGTTTTAAACTGGACACTAGTTAATTTCAATAGAGAGTTTACTTTCGTGTATTTAATTTTACTATTTTTTCTATGATTGTATTGGTCACTAAGTCCGAGTTTTGCAGTACCTTTTTTTGAATAATTGTAAGCAGCTCTTACGTTGTAATTCTCAATATTCTGTGTTGTTATTGTTTTAAATGATTTGATCTATACATAGATTATTGTGCAAATAGAATTCATCCAATGATTAGATAACTAGCTTTTTGATTGGAATAATTCTACATCTTTAGTTACAATCATTTGTTGAACTTCTAATTGTCAGTAATGATAGTTCTAGATATATTTTACTATTTTAATTGCATATCCTATTGATGACATCATTCAAATGACCTCTGAAACATGTAGCTCACTAACTTAGTAAATTTTTATGTACTGGGTAGGTTATGAAACTACTCTGCGCATAGAGAGTAACAGAAAAAGCAAACCTGTAAGAATTATACACATATTTCATCGGAGTGTTAAACGCAACCACCATTAGGGCACGACTCCAATTATTTCGCATAATTGAAGTGACAACATTATGCAGAAGAAGAGGGGAGGGGCCACACAATCTGTAGATAAAAAAGGACATTTGAAAAAAAGTATGGTCAAGCAAACCTTCCAGTGTGTTCTTATGTGTGTCGATTTACTCAGCATAAAATTAGTTTATTTTATTTTCAGATCATCTTCATTGTAGTAATTAATGCACTATGTTCAGGTGATGATCACCCAGTTGATAAATGTTGTAATTAATACTAATTGAATATGTTATAACAATAACTTGGATGTAATTCAATTCTCTCAGGGTTTTTCTTGTGCATCGTGCTTACAAAGCTTCTGTCTTTCAATTGTACGGGGAATTACCGTTGAAGTATTGTGTATTAGTTATTTCAAAGGTTATTCACTCAGTTATAATCAACGCAGAACCTGGCACTTATGTGTATTGGTTCAGATGCCCAAACCATGTGAGCACTGCAAGATAAAATTATCAAGAAAAATGCCAGAGTAGTAGAAACGGTAACAGTATCAATGGTAGTAGAAAGCATTAAGTATGAATAATAGGATTCAAGAAGATTCAGTGAGTTTGGAGAATAAAAGGTATAAGACAATTTTAAAACTCCAGTTTTATAATGTAAGCCCGAAATTTAGGGTCTTTAGTAAGAAAACCATAGAGATCGTTTGCCATTGGGAATCCGGTGACAATATTTAGTAATAAACGAACATAACCCACGTCTGCCACCTTCGCCGATTTCTGCCAATAGAACACCATCAATCATATCCAACTTTTACATCTTCATTCAAATAGGTAAGTTAAAGATTTTGTTTGTATGTTCAGAAACGTTCCAAAGGGGAGGTGATCACCAAAGAGGTTCCTGTTTATCTACCATACTACATCGAACTCGCAACTACCAAATGGCGCTTCTTCAGCAAAAGCTCTGTGTGGTAGAAAATTGTGTACACGTTTTGAATCTATTCTTCCAGTGACTACTGACGATTCCCAACGAAACTGATTTATATCGAGATAGTTCAAACAATACTATGGAAGGACTCTGTATAGATTATCCTGGCAAACACCCTAGATAGACAGTTAGTCGAATTTCTCAAAGACATATTTTAATCTACAGATTCTCAGTTGATTTGTCAATTTGTTTACAATATGGTAATTAATTGAAAGTAACTTTTATCCTCATTAATGAAACCATCATAGAATACCACTCGATATTCTGTCAAATTTACAATGCTGTCTAATCAGTATATACTCATCATTAGGATCCCTATGCGAATTTATGGTCTTTCTGGGTAAAGTAATTGGCAAGATAAAAAGTACTAACATCCAATCTGATGTATCGTAACTGTAGGTTAAAAAATCAGTTTAGTGAGTATATGAAGACTGTTTAGTATCAGAATTAAGACAGTCACAGTAGACTCGTCCAGTGAAAATCTCGAACTTCAGGTGTTAAAACTTTTATATTAGTTTTATTCTGTTACAGTTGTACTCAAACTTCAATCTTTATGTTAATGGTTGTGTCTCCCTTAACTGAAAGATTTCTTCTGATTGTACCTTTCCGTTCCCTCATTATTACTATTATTACTACTACTACACTACCTTACACCAAACTCTTCGTTATTATTCTCTTTTTTTTCACGCTCCTTACCTTTTTTTTTCTTTCTCTTCGAATTCTCATTGTTTTGTGTGGTACATATATATTGGCGCTCTCTTGTACCAATATTTATGTGTTCAAATAAAATAAAATTTATGTTAATGAACTTTTACTCAGGTTCAATGCTCACCTACAGCTGGCGTTTGTTGCACCGAAAATTGTCAATATCGCCCAGAAACTCATATGTGTCGTCCAGCCGGTGAATGTCATCGACCATCTAATTGCAATGGAAGAATGTCTAAGTGTCCACCTGTTGATATTTTACCAGATGGTACTCTTTGTCAGGTAGGTAACTATGCTTTTAAGTCTGTTATACTGACCAAGTTTCTATCTTGTCTTTTCATTCTATTGATATGTGTATACTATACTATACATTCGGTCGCAAATAATTTTTCATCTAACTTGAATTATGCTGTACAGCAAACCCTTTTATGATGACTGTATAATTTACTGTGGTGTTTGCAAGTGTAGAAATCATCTAACTTCAAAAACACTAGTTAAGCTTATTGAACGAAATTCAGTAAACTGTTTAGCAGAGGTATGAGCTTGAGTGCTATCATGAGTATATGGGCCATTGTCACTTCCCAGTTGCTCACATCATGAAAAGATAATTCTTTTTGAGGTGCCTGATAAAGAATCCGGTTTAGTGGTGGTCTTAACAAACCAAGAGAGTGACAATAAAACCTGAAAGACAAATTCTTGAGGGTTGACGTCATTCACAACTTTTCATGATTAGTTTTTAATGTGTTAGCTCTTTATTTTCTATGCCTTACTGCCAATACTGGAGAAATATTACTGATGGTCTAGGTTATCCGTGGGAAGCGTTTTAATACCACTTCACCCTATTACATTTGGTAGTAGAATTTCACCCTCAGACTTACGATTTACGGTTTCAGTCTCATCTCTGTCCGATAGACCAACCTATCATAGTAGAACCTCGAAGAATAAGTGTTTCAGCTAATGCATCTTGATTAGGTCGTGGTAGCAGTTACGGTCTGAATAAACTATTTATAGTTCGCCTTCAACATTATTTCTGTAAAATGCTTACTGGGTTTACCATTTAAACAGTCATTTCTTTCCTTTAAAAGAGTCATTGGTTTATTACAAATTTGAACAAGTCATGTAACAGTTGAACTCTTTTTCTTTTTAACTCATTCTAAATTTACGTTTTTACTACCACTATTTGCCGTATCAAATCATATTTGTTTTTAGGATGGTACACGTGTTTGTAAACAGGGTCAATGTATTGGTTCAATATGTGAGCGTATTCCTGGTTGGCATGAATGTTCTTTTACTCGAGATAAAAAGGTCGTACCTGAATTAATGTGTTTCGTCGGATGTAAGCAGAATATTTCTGGTGCACCGTGTATTAGTTCTTTTCAGTTAGAAAAAGTAAGTTTTCCTCACCCTTTCGCTTGGATTCATAATATGAGTAATAATGGTGCAGTCTTATTGGATTTGATTCTAGACTTTCCTATACAATCCAACATTTTCATCCATTTATTTTACTCAATCTTTGGTTTAGTTTTGTTTTCAATACTCATAAAGCCATGCTAAACTATGTAGAAATCTTGAATATTGATGTTACTAATGTTTTTGAAATAATCCTTAAAATCATCCGACTATTGCTTTATTCTGTCCTTTGTTTTTTTTTGAGTTTCTATTTCTAATTATGTCTGTTACATTCAATAAGTCAATTTTAACGTATTCATCGGTTTTATTTTTGCTTAAAGAAAATCCTAAATTTTCATGTTATCAATAATTAAAGTTGATGAAATTAATTCATTTAAATTAACTTGTATATAGATTATTTTCTCTTGTTTCCTACTCAACAGAGGTCTACCAGTAATACCTAACACTAATCAGAATTATAGTACTAAGTGTTTGTAAGATAATCCACTTGATATTACACTTATTTGTACTGCATTCATGCATAATCGTAGCCAGTCGTTAAGATACATGGCTCAAAATTGGCGGTAGTTGTATGTACTCTTTCTTTTTCTTTAAACTTTAAGTTAATAGTCATTAAATTATTTGTAATCTTTATTATATAATAAGTGATATTACTTTGGTTGGATTTTTTGTATATCACGCGACTAGTTTCTAACTTTTATTTAGTCAGTCGAATGGTGATTCCATCTCCTAAAACTCATTACGCTACCACTTTTTCATTGCAAAATTATATCAGTCAACTAAACTATATTTCTCATAGTTTCACATCATAGACTGACCTTAAGTTTAGACAAATATTGATAGTCACGAAGCAGCTGTTTCTTGATTTTCAATGTTGTCTAACTTAAATCAGTCTGTGATGTAAAGCTATGAAAATCCAACAAGTTCCACAATCCTTACTATACTTGCTGTTTCTTTTGTAGATATAGTTTTCCATAAACATAAATATTATTGTTTCAGCTTCCTTTTCACTGTACTAACTATTTTTATTTTGAAAGTTTTACTCACATTGTTTTATCAAACGAACTACAACTTTCCTTGTGTTGTTTCACCGTTTTCAGTGCTTATTACTTTTCTGTAGTGTTATCTATCCTGTTTATGTTTATAGTGTATGGAAACGAGATAATGTAGTTGTGTGTTATATTTACTATTGTATAATCAATGTTCCTGGAGTTTGTACCAAAAACTATGCATAGAATTGGTGTATAATCATTTGCTTTCCTGTTCAGCATTTACAAAATTTGTCTTTGTTGTACATGTACGGAAAGCTAAACTAATTGATTTTCCTTCGAGGTGATCATGTTTCTGAGATAAGTCATGATCATGCGATGAGGCAAATACATTTCACTTAAAACTTCCTCATACTCTGAACATTGAAACCAAAATCGATCATAAAACCTATATAGCATGTATTTTTAGGTATTTTTCCTCTTGTAATTTATCAAGATTTTCTAACGTCAATCTAGTAGTTACATTATTTGTCACTTCATATCGATGTGTTTCTTACCCACTTGAGTAATGTAAAATTGTGTGTTATATTTACTATTGTATAATCAATGTTCCTGGAGTTTGTACCAAAAACTATGCATAGAATTTGGTGTATAATCATTTGCTTTCCTGTTCAGCATTTACAAAATTTGTCTTTGTTGTACATGTACGGAAAGCTAAACTAATTGATTTTCCTTCGAGGTGATCATGTTTCTGAGATAAGTCATGATCATGCGATGAGGCAAATACATTTCACTTAAAACTTCCTCATACTCTGAACATTGAAACCAAAATCGATCATAAAACCTATATAGCATGTATTTTTAGGTATTTTTCCTCTTGTAATTTATCAAGATTTTCTAACGTCAATCTAGTAGTTACATTATTTGTCACTTCATATCGATGTGTTTCTTACCCACTTGAGTAATGTAAAATTGTGTGTTATATTTACTATTGTATAATCAATGTTCCTGGAGTTTGTACCAAAAACTATGCATAGAATTTGGTGTATAATCATTTGCTTTCCTGTTCAGCATTTACAAAATTTGTCTTTGTTGTACATGTACGGAAAGCTAAACTAATTGATTTTCCTTCGAGGTGATCATGTTTCTGAGATAAGTCATGATCATGCGATGAGGCAAATACATTTCACTTAAAACTTCCTCATACTCTGAACATTGAAACCAAAATCGATCATAAAACTTATATAGCATGTATTTTTAGGTATTTTTCCTCTTGTAATTTATCAAGATTTTCTAACGTCAATCTAGTAGTTATATTATTTGTTCGAAATAGAAAATACTGTAGGATATAGTTTCCGCTTTATATTTATTTACACAGTTGTTGACCTCCAAGAACAATATTGAAGAAAGTGTCCCTGAAATATTTTTCTCAGTGCAAAATTGTGAATTGCCGGTAATAAGTTTGAATTATTTGTTAGCTGGTAGCCAAACTTTGACAGCACTTAAAAGAACATGGTTACATGGTAAGTAAAATCGACCGATTCTCACGGTCTTAAGAAGGCTCACTAAAAGTTAATGTGATTTTCTACCACTGTTATTGACTTGGTTTCCCGTATTCGAGTTCTTAGATCTTGTACTGATACCGGTTAAACCACTGAGCTTTATGTATTTAGATATTTTGTATGTATTTGTCGTTTTATTCCTTGAAAAATAATCTCTTCATTCCTAATCGAAAGTATGATCACGTAAAATTTAAATAGTAGTGTCTGATTTTGTTCACCCTAATTATAACAAAAGTTCAGTGTGTGTTTAAGCTAAAATTATTTCAAATTTATTGGGCACCTAGTTGGGAAAATTTGTGATATCGTTGGCTTAATGTCTTAGTGCTCATAATTATGCATCAATTTGAATTGTTCTAAATGAGGAGTTATAAGAGAATAACATTTTGAATAGAAAATAGGAGTGCTCCATTATACTCACGGATACTTGATCGTGAAATCCTATTGTTGCATATTACTGGAATAATATTAATTTCCAAACTATCTCAAGTATTGGATAACGTATATTCTCTTTCAGTGTTTTTGTCTAACTCATGGTTTGTCAAGGTGCATTTTAATAAATTTTTTTACCACATTAATTGCCACAGGTTGGTTTCTTTTCCATCTAGTTTGGATAATGTATTGTAGTTTACACAATATTTTGACTGTTAATCATTGCATGTCGGTTTTTTAATATTATCATTAGGAGCTAGATTTAAGAGCGAAATATCCTCAATTGGCTGTTGAAGTTTTACGTAATGGACGCGGCATTAAATTGCCTCCTGGAGCTCCTTGTGATAACTATCGGGGCTACTGTGATATTTCCATGCGCTGTCTCTTGGTTGATGCAGAGGGACCACTTTCTCGATTAAGAAACTTGGTATTCAGTCCACAAATGTTTCAGAAAGTTAAAACATGGATAATAGTAAGTTTACTATTTATGTTAATATAGGTTTGTTATCTCATTTACTAATTATTATTGCTTGTGCTTTCCGAGTTTGTTTCTCATGAAATAGGTTTATTTTTCGTTTATTCCACCTCTTTTGTAGATTCATTGGTGGGCGGTTATACTTATTGCCTTAGCCGTTATTATAGGTGCAGTTACTTTCGTCAAAATGTGTGCCTATAATACTCCACCTGTTCGTCTACATAATGTGAATCGTACTATGCCAAACCTGACTCCCTTCTTAACTTCCAGTCATATTCCCTCTGGTTCTGTCGATCAACCTGTTATTTGGACTGTTACAGGTCATCCTGTAAGATGGGCTAGTTCGCCTAATCCACGTACTAGTCGTCTCCCACGCTCTTCACGCAGACAGTCTCGTAAATCCAAAGATATTAAAGGAGTTATTCGCCACCAAATAAATTCTGAGAAATTTTCCATTACACCCAATGCAGCTATACATCCTCTGGACTTTCCTCCATCCAATGCACGTCAAACACCGTTACCTGTGTTACACCCAAATCCTTTGTCTGCTGTCGACTTGCCTTTACAACCTATTCCATGTAACAGTAGAAATCCTAGTGATATTGAACCAGTTGGTGTCAACTCAAATACTGAATTTCTGCAACAAAATAATTTTTATCAAAGGTTAGTGTGTAATTTTCTGCAGAAATCGTATTATTTTCCATAAAACTTCGAATTTTAAATTATTATTTAATGTCGACATTAATTGTAGATTAAATATCTGCTTTCTCTTACTACTTATATTAGAAATCACACAGAAGTTTATGATGAGAATGCTTATTTTGTACCCTTCATATTGAAATATTAATAACATTTGACTTGAAATAATTCCCTAAATTTTAACGACAATAATTATATTTATCATAAACTCATGATTAGGTTACTTGTCCTCAGTCCTTTTTTATATTAAAATTAAAACTTTATTTTTAAGTGACCTCAAAATTTGTGTTGTGAATTCAATAGGTCAGCCTTGAAACTAATGGAGGTACATCCAGCTGACGAATTACAAATAGGATGATTCACGCATCCTGGAATCCACTGCTAGCCAACATAAATCTGTACTTGTAATGCGTGTGACTGAAGGCAATCCGCATAGGATGCACATATTTCAATAAGAGACTGATCAATTGCAGTCCTAAACATCAATTGGAAGGTTCAAACAAAGTGAGTTCGACAGATATTGTAGTACTAACCGGAGACTTGAATGCTCAGGTTGGGCGTCTAGGCACAGAAGAGAGTCGTTTAGGTGGCCGATGGGGACTCGTCGGTCGCAGGTCAGATAACGGGGACCGTCTACTGCAACTTTGCACAGACCACAACCTGTTTCTGGCTAGCACTAACTTTCGGCACAGTCATCGCCGATGTGCCACCTGGCGTCCTCCCTCTGCATCTCAAGCCTGGACTCAGATTGATCACATCGCGATCAGCTACCGCTGGCGTGGTTGTGTACAAGACTGCCGCTCCTTTTGGAATACCTATCTGGACTCTGACCATGCCTTGGTCTGCGCCAATCTTACCTTACTTTTCAGTGGACAACAAAGTGACCGCCACCAACGGATTGATGTTAGCAAGCTGGTTGCAACTTCTGTTGCAAATAAGTATCGAACCGAGCTAGTTTCTAGGCTAGCTACCATTCCACCGAAAAGTGTAGATGAGCATTGGTTGAAATTGCATGACGCCATGAAAATGGCGGGTACAGTCAGTTGTGGGTTCGCGAAACGTCCCGCTTATAAGCACTGGGTTTCTTCGGGTTCCTTACAACTCGTTGAAGCCTGTCGGTCTACTCCGGGTGACCAGGAGTTTGACCATAAACGAATGATGTTACGTAAGGAAATTGGGCAAAGCTTGCGTAAGGGGTTAGGCAGGGTTGCCCAATCTCACCATTCCTCTTCAACTTTGCCATCGCTGACATTCTGGAAACAGCTCTGATGGATGTAAGTAATGGTGGTGTGGATCTATTGCCTGGAGAAAGACTTCTCGACCTTAAGTATGCGGATGATATTGTCTTACTGTGCGATAATGCCCAAGCCATGCGATCCGCACTTAATCAGTTGGCAATCAGTATCCGTAGGTATGGTATGTGCTTTGCACTTTCGAAGTGCAAAGTACTTCTACAAGACTGGCAGGATTCTAATCCTGTACTCACCCTGGATGGTGAGCAGATAGAAGTAGTCGAGAAGTTCGTGTATCTGGGTAGCTGCATAAGTGCTGGTTGGGGTGTGAGTGGTGAGATCAATTCACGTATAGTGAAAGCCAGAGCGGCTTATGCCAATCTGGGCCACCTTTGGCGCCTTCGTGATGTTAGTCTGGCTGTAAAAGGTCGGATCTACAACGCGTCGGTGAAAGCAGTTTTGCTCTATGTTTGTGAAACCTGAACTCTCCGAGTTGAGGACGTTAGACGACTCTCTGTGTTCGATCATCGCTGTCTCCGAAGGATTGCTGACATCCAGTGGCAACATCATGTCAGTAATGCAGAGGTTCGGCATCGTGTGTTCGGGCACAGAGATGATAATTCAATTGGTGTCACCATCTTGAAACACCGACTTCGGTGGCTTGGACATGTTCTCCGAATGTCGTCCCAGAGGATTCCACGTCGTGCATTATTTGCCGACTCTGGGACTGGTTGGAAGAAGCGGAGAGGTGGTCAGTGCATGACATGGTGTCGTGGCATGAAAGAAAGCTGCAAAGGACTGGCTTGTGTTGGTCCTTCACGACTTCCTGGTTGGGGTCCGAGAGTTGGTGCTACACAGTGGCTAGAGACGTTATCAGATATGGCTCAGAATAGAAGTCAGTGGCGATCCTGCTGTAACCTTCTTTTACTTTCTTCATAAAAAGTGGCTGTGTCTCCCTTAACTGAAAGATTTCTTCCGATCGCACCTTTCCGTTCCCTCATTACTACCACACTACCTTACACCAAACTCTTCGTTTTTGTTCTCTTTTTCTTCTTGCGCTCCTTACCGTTTTTTTCTTCTTTCTTCTCTTCGGTTTCTCATTGTTTTGTGTGGCGCATATATATTGGCGCTCTCTTGTACCGATATTTATGTGTTCAAATAAATAAATCAAACAACCAATACAAAAATGAATTAGCAACAACCTCATGTCTTTATACAACAAGCTGTGACAGATCAACAAAAGACTTTAAAAAATTCAACGCCTAGTGTAGGTGTAAGTAAGCTTCTAACTTCTATTGCTAAGGAATTATAGACAGCAACAGACGAAAACTAAAAAAAGTATCTAAAGTATAACAACTGCAATAATATTATTTTTAACAGAAAGAAACATCAATCAATTGTCTACATTAGTCATTAATGCTAATCTGAGAGAAGCGAAGACTATCTAATGCACAATTATGTACATACCTGAATAATAAAATTTCACAATGCAGATATACAATATACTAAGTTAAATTGCTAAAAACTAACTACATTTGAGATTCAGATAAAATAAAAATAGTGCATCATCTATGGTTGGCAATCGAATGATTCGAAATGACAAGAAATTGAAATCCATGGAAATATAATATAAATTCAAATTAAAAAAGACCTATTCCCGAAACTTGTCGATCAATTTGTTTTAAACATTGTACACCGTACTTCACAATTTCTTAACTGAGTATTTCCTGTCGGAAAGATAAAAAATGTGGCATATTAGTTAGTTTTTATATATTTAAGAAGTATTTACGTAATAGCGGATTGATGATGTTTTATAGTAGTCTTAAGTGTAAATGTTTATTTGAACATTAATTATAGTTATATCTTTTACTGCTCAAGAATAATTCAGTTACCGTAGAGATGTGTTACTAAATTTTGTGTGAGTTGCGTAATTATTCAAAGTGATAAGGTTTTAGATCTTGTGCTTATAATCTACTCTTATAATTATATGAGTGGTGAATCTATGTCATAAATAGACTTCCTGATGCTTGTTTAACTTTTGAATCTTTTAGTGAAGTTTTGAGAGTAGAGTTTTCCTGTGGTTCACTAAAATGAGAATTGATCACTTGGTATGAGGAATATTACAGTCTCAGTGTGTGCAAATGATGCTAAAAAGATACTAGTAGTCAAGTAGTCATGTTAGATTTTCACTGATCAGCATTATGAATTCAAAACACATAAGGAAACGCTTTTGTATCACTGGGTGGTTAGTTTATGAACTCAATAATAGCTATTTATGGGAGGCATGTGCCTTTAAATAAATCTTTTATTTATTTATTTATTATCATCATTATGAACTCATTAACCTGGCTGCCCAAACCAAAATAAGTGGGGCGGTATTTGAACAGGTGATTTAGTGGCTGAAAGTTGAACGCTGTAACGACTAAACCACCACTCCATTGTAATAAGGTTGTACCATTCAAAGTAACTCATAGCATTTTTGTATGAAGTCTTCATTTCTTTCTTACTGTAGAAACTAATTTATTGTAACATCTGATAAGCTCACTATTTTGAAATCCATTTATTTCGGGATGCGAAGAATGGGGGTTGATTAATAGGAATAAAGACTTCAAGATCCACTGATTGAATAGTATCTCCCTATATCCAGTGTGTTTACTCTAAAGATCTTTTTTTGGTTACTATATATATATATATATATATATATATATATATATATATATATATATATATATATATATATATATATATATATATATATATACTGAGTAGATAATGTATAATGGGTGGATGAGTTGCATTCGTTTAGATAAATAGTAACTAAACTATTATTCTTCAAGTCTCATTGACTCAGTTCAGTGAAGTTCTTATTTTATTGAATCGTGTCTATTTTTTCTTCCGATTCTAGACCAAACAGTGTGCTCATCCCTTCAACTGCAAAAGAATCAAACCATGTCAGAAAATCCAAAATTCCATCCAAACTAAGTAATGACAAACGTAAGAGGAAGACACGACCAGTTTCTGAATGTACAGTTGACAGTAATGTTTCTGTCCCTGAAATTTCAATCCGGGTTGATCGTCTTAATGAAGAGAATGAGACAGCACTTCCTCAACCTGACAATAGGGTTTCTGGATCTCAGTATCTTCGTGATGATTCTCGCAGTATTTCACCACCATCGTACGATGATCTGTAAGTTAGCCTTTCAAATACATACTTACGCCTGTTACCCGTCATGGAGATGCATAGGCCGCCCACCAACATTCTTCATCCAACTCTGTCCTGTGCAATCATTTCCAGTTGTTTCTGGTTGCTATTCATCCTATTCATGTCTGCTTCCAATGTGTGTTCTTTGACCTTCCACTTTTCATTTCCCCTTCAGGATTTCAAGTTAGAGATGGCCCTGTGATGCAGTTTGATGATTTCCGCAATGTGTGTCCTATCCATTTCCAACGTCTTTTCCTAATTTCCTCCATATCTTCCTGAATAGAACGTGGAGTATTTTTGCAGTTGGTTCTGTGTTTGGTTTTGGTGCTTCGGTTGGTGTATTGTTAGGACCTTCTGCCTTCCCACTGTTGATTTGTCAGATGATCATGCAGATTTCTTCGATCGTTGATGGAGCGACATATGTAGAAATGTGTACGTGTGTGCTTCTTCGCTGTTTAGTGGATTTAATGGAGCTATTTTATTCAAAAGTTCCTCAAAGTGTTCTACCCATCTGTCCCTATGTCCTTGAATCCATGTGATTATCCTGCCTTGTTTGTCCGTGACTGGTCTCTCTGGTTTACTATATTTCCCTGCCAGTTTCTTCGTTATATCATATAGTTGTTTGATATTTTCTTCTCTTGCAGCCTTTCCGATGTTGTTGCTATGTCGCCCTCACATTTCTGCTTGTCAGTTCTAATGCCCTTCTTCACTTGTTTGTTTGCCTTAACGTTCTCTGTTCTTGTTCGGCTGTTGTTAATTGCTGTCTTCTTGTCCTTCATTTCTTGAATCTTGCCCTGGGTTTCGATAGTGATCCATTCCTTATGATGATGCTTGTTGCGGCCCAGAACTTCCTGACACGTTGAAGTTAGTGCTTCTTTGATATCTTTCCAGTTGTCCTCCACATTAGTTTCTTCTTCTTTGAGTAGATCTTGTGAGGCTTGGAATTTGTTGTCGAAAGCTCTGTTGAATTGGTTGAGTTTGTCAATATGTCGAAGGAAGGGTGTATTGAACCTTTGTAATGATGCTTATCCAGTTGTCCATTGATTTTTTAGCTTCAGTTTCATCTTGACAACCACCAGTTGATGGTGATCCGAAGCTATGTCAGCTCCTCCTCTGGTTCTCACGTCTTCCATCGAACTTGTGTATTTTTTACTGATGCAAATATGATCTATCTGGTTCTTTGTGGTATGGTCTGGCGAAACCCATCTAGATTTTTGTATGCGTTTGTGTGAGAAAATGGTGCCGTCTCTAACCAGTTTGTTTACTGCATATAAATTTGCAAATCTCTCCCCATTTCCCTTTCTTTCTCCTAGTCCATGTTGTCCCATAATATCTTCATAACCGTTGTTGTTCATCCCGACTTTGGCGCTTAGATCTCTCATCAGGATGGTCATGTCCTTTCTCGGGCTCTTCATTATAATCAATTGCAGCCTTTCGTAGAACTGATCTTTATCGTCGTCGTTGCCATTATTGGTGGGTGCATAACGTTGGATAGTATTCATTTTAATTCCCTGCTCCTTTGTTTTGAAGAATGATTTGATGATTCTGTATGCACGTGATTCCCATTCTGCAAATGTTTCTCGTGACCATTTGGAAAGCATCAGAGCAACTCTCTGAGTGTGAAGCATTTTCCTCTTTGTGACCGGAGTACAGTAGCATCTCTGCCGAATCTATCCTTTTCTGTCCAGTTTGGGTTCATTGTGTGTCACTTATTCCGAGTACTGCCAAGTTGTATCTCCTCATTCCCTTTGCTATTTGGCTGGTCCTTCCGGTCTTCCACATTTTCCGGGTGTTCCATGTACCTAGAAGAAGTGTTGCTCTGGTTATTAAAAGGGGCATCTGTCTCGTGATTTCCAAAGAATCTCGGCTTTCCTCAGAAGGCGTCATAATTCTTCCTTGAACTCGGAGGGCAGATTTTATATGGTTTAAATTGTTTATTCTAGTCAGTGGTTTTTTTATCAAGGTTGTTTTGTACGGGATGAAGTTGCTGACCACCACACCCAATCTTTCTCCTCTACCTGGGATTGGGACCGGCAGTGACTCTAGGAGAGCTTCAGGTGGAGTTAGCCTTTCAAATACTTATGTATTTTTGACGTTATTTTTACTCTATGTTGGGGCGACGTCGAAAAGCATAATGAAGCCTCCATAGGCTATAAAGGAGCTAAATAGATTAATCCAATCAGAACCTGATAGAACCCTTTGAAATATCAACGTGGGATGCTATGATTAGACATTTGGATGACTTTCCTAATTGCGGATTCGCTTGATTATAATGATGTTATAGCCTATACTAAAAATTAAGAAATACCCCTATTTTTCTGTACTTTTGTGATTCTTACCCAGTGACCGCTCCCTCTGCTTCTTTTGTCTTTTGATTTGCGACTATGAGGGTTGCACAAGTTCGAGTGCCGACAGTTGTATACCGTATCCTACCGTAATCGAGTAGAGGACGAAACAATCTAAACTTGTGTTTACTGGTAATGAAAATGATAACACGGAATCCCCACGTTTATTGTTTGACTCTAAGCCTTATTGATGCCGACTAATACTTTTTTACTCAGTCAGCAGGTTATAATGAACTTAGAGTCTGGCACAACTAAATTCATCTTAAATTCTCTTGTAAGCTTAAACTAGGTTATTCCAGTTATAAAAATGTATCTAAATATTCAGCAATGAATAAGTTTATATAAACATTATGAATTGAACTTTAAAGGATTTTGCAGCGCTTTAATACATTTTTGTTGTATCATTAGCGATTATTATCCTGGTAACTAAATGGTTTGCCCCAGCTTGCCATACCACATTAGCACAACGAGATAAGGTTACTAAGATGAGCGGGAAAAAATCAAAATAATCCATGTGCAATAATAATGGCTGGACATTGAGATTATTGTTTGAAAAGGCAGAGTGAAAAAGTATGTATAAAATATTTTAAGGGGGAGAAAGACAAAAATGCATTTGCTCTATTGTGGACGTTTGTAAGTTATGGCCTAGTGGTCAAGGCGTTCGACTTTTAGTCCCAGTTTCAGATCCCATTCCACCTACGTTGGCTAGGTCAACTTAGTAATATCACTAGTCCTCACTCGTAATTGTGCTTCAAAGCCATGTATGTTAATAAAAGTACATGGTAAGCTGGTAAGTCAATTTCCGAATCTATCTAATTTTGGAATGTAATTGTGTTAAAATTAGTCATTTTTGTAGTCTCGTGACAAACAACTGTTGAATTGGCTAGAATCTAGCATTCAATGTGTAGTCTCGGTTTGTATAAATTGATTTCAGCATACATTTAACAAGAGTTGTATATCATTAAATCTTTTGTGTAAATAAAAAATATCAAGAAGAATCATTTGAATATTTTAAAGAAACTTTCAATTCACGTTTTTATTTTATTAAAAGTATAAATGGATGAAATGCGTTGTTTGAAAGGATTAAAAGACTTCTGAAACACTAGATATCTTTATCATACATGATAAAGGTTCAAAGTGTTTAGTGTCTAGGAGGTTTTTAAGTTGTTTAATTATGGTCACTAATCACGTGAGTTTTCAGCTTGTCGAAATATCCCCCAACATGTTTTCTCTGTAAAAAAATGCGATACTTTTACTCCTGCTTATTATTTGTCTCTAATTTCAGGATACAACCCGATAAGTGAGGCTATTTGTTTCATTAATTTGTTTAATTCCAATCGACAATGAAAACTTCCTTCAATCAATCATATGATGGAAACGACAACGAAGAAAAAAAATACTAGATCTTATAAGTTCATATTTTTCTTTATTAAAATAATGACTTAATTTTACCAGTCATTGCCTACTATTTTAATTATTTACTTAATTACTATGAGTCTTCCATTCATCATTGTTTTTCTTTCGAAATTAATTCATCATATATTTTTCGTTGTCACTATATTTAGAAAATTCTTTTCTAGCTTATTCTCTTTTCTCGTTTTGACCAGTTCTTTCAGTATGTAAAATTCACACTAACACTACAACACTCACTGTAAGTATACAAATATTTCAAGAGTTTAAATAAAAGCGTTTGAGAATTTTTTCGTTCACGTTAATCCGTTGTGTTTCAATGTTTTACTAGCTGAACTATCATTTCATCTATTTATATAACTAAGTTTTTTCCATCTTTGTCACTTTCCGCTCTCTTTTTGTCAAGTAGTTAAATGGATTGTTTCTTATTTTCTCCAATTGTTTTATTGTTTAATCTACAGTTTCAAAATACTGAATGAAGGAAAGATTTCATCTAGTTTTTTTCTCTGATTTTTGTTTTGTATATGAGTACTTTTTGTTTTTAGTTGGTTGGTTTCTTTTAGTTATACACACTGTGCACCAATTATGTAGTGTAGATCTTTTTATTAATGAATAATTGTAAAACAATTATTCGTAATTCTTATCATGGATATTGACTCTAATTTTGTTGTATATTTGTATGTACAGGAATGTGATAAGTAATAAACTAATGTTCGATCCCATTTGTGTTTTAATATAATTTAGTTTATGTATTTATGATGAACATAAGAACGAAATAAATAATACAGAAGTGATGCTCGTATCTCGTTCTCTTTAAGATAAACTGCGTAGTAATTGTTAGGATCATATCCCTTCTATCCAGTTTCTAATAAGATTTTGACTGCATGATATATATATAATCAAAATTATTTCTGATGACGAATCTCATGGATTATGTCATTGGTTTTTTTATGATCGAGGAAGATCGATGCGAATTCCTAAAAATCTACGATTTCTTAACTTGATGTGAATGAATTCGTATGTCTTAACTTTTGGGGGACAATATTCATTCTTCAGTTGAATTCAGACCTTAGCGATTCGCAAGTTTAAGTAATTTTCCAATCGATCAATAAAATGTATACTTCATTTGGTATTTACTCCTTCCGTTCATCTGATTGTTACTGCTTTTTTTTCTGTTTACCTGGTGCCTAATTACCTCTATTATTCTCATTTACTAGTTGTATATTAAGCGTTTGAAAGTCATTTACTTTGAAACGGAACAATACAGTATCACATGTATTCATTCACCTAATTGAAAAGGTTTACATTCAACTGAATTACCATCCTCATTATATATATATATATATATATATATATATATATATATATATTATGTAAGAGGTCAGAGAAAATGCTAAAGGTATGCATAGAATTATTATTATCTTTGTCTCGATAGCCTTACATAATTTGATTTAAGAGAAGAGCAGGACTGAAAGTTTTCAATTTTTGAACTGTTTATATTATTTGTAGTTTTTCAGTAATTATTCATACCATAAAGCGTAGTATGATAGTTTTCATTTGTTTTATGTATTGTGTTTGTATGTGTGCATATATGTGTATGGTTCATATGGACTGATAGTTGTACATTATATATTCATCATTGTAAAATAAAAGTTGTTTTTGAGTTGTTTTTTTTTTAATAAAACAATTTTACTCTGTTTATGTTCACATATTTCTGTAAATATGATGACATACTTGTTAATTATTTTTAATTAAGTGATAAATACAGTTTGTTGTTTGTTTATTACTGTGTATGTACAATTTGTACAAACATCATATGAAAAATGGAGTAGTAGTATAGATTTTATTTTAATGTTCTATCATATTTTTGTTCCTCATAATTAAGATTTGTTTAGTGGCATTCAGGTAAATATACTTTTATTATCAAAATATTTCGTTTATATATTGACACTTGTACATTGGTATAGTTGGTATGCAATTATGAAATAATATAAAGTATAGTGATGCTGGGCACCGGTTGTTTGTTACTGGTTTTTTTTAGTGCGTCTAAGTAGTTTTTTCGAATACATGTGTAAATGCTGATAACAAAATGAGCATATATGTCTTTGTGTAGAGGAGAGAGAGAGAGAACAAGAGAGTTATCAGAACTGAAAAAAAGGAAAATCAATAAGATAAACTACAAATAATTTTGTTTTGTTCATTTTACCCGCTAGGAAAACAATCCTGAGGTCAAACAGTTTTAAGTGTAGGTTAATGACCTCATTTATTATTGTGCTATTTTTGGTTATCTTTTGTACTTGTATAAATGCATTTTTTATTAAGAAAATATGTTAGAGAATTTCTCGTTTTGAAAGTTTTTGAAAGAATCTTTTGCGGATGAAATCATTTGTACATAACGTTGACATGATTCACAGCATTGATAACGATATATTGTAAATTTGCATAGTTCTACCCTCTTTGAACAGTGTTTAGACATGTCAACACAACCTTGAATACAGTAAAAGGAAGAAGAAAGCGATTAGAATTGTCCGCAATAAGCTTAATTATTTCAATCATTAATGTGATAAATAGAGTAGAATGAGTTATGAAGTGTATCTAAGATGTTTTGTCATACGGTTTATTCGTAATATATATTGATAGTTTTCCCTGTTTCCAAAATCGACAAATAATGCACTATAACAAAAGCATTTGAAGTAATCTGTATAAAACTTGTCTAATCCATCGAATTATGGTGTCAATTGGCTTCTTACCTTGAGCTATAACCTGGCACTTGGTTCTTCTACTAAAGTTCGTATGCTTGATCAATTCAATACGTAGTTCGAAAACAGGAAAACATAGGAATGTGAAGTGAATATTTAACTTATGGGTGTTTATAAGTAGAAAAACTATTCTGGAAGCGTGCATTAGTTGAACAATATGTCTTAATCTTAAGGTTACGAATAACTAGTTCCCGTTTGTCACTCAAATGACTCCGTGCCTAATTCTCTGGTCTTCACACTAAAGTCCAGTTTGTATCAGATTACTTGGAGAACGAGTTTTGTAGAGATAATTCACATAGTGATAAAATTTGTACTCCATCAGATCCTTTGGGGTGTTTTTTATTAGTTTCTCTTTTGATTTGATGCTCTAACTTGATAGGGCACAAAGGAGTTTTTCATTTGGCTTTTGTAATTTCGTTCCAAAGATTTGATTCGATTACTGGATTAACATGGCCGAACACTGGTGCTTTGAGGGTCCTTCTACTAATTCTCATGAAACGTAATTTAGAATCGATAAGTCTTAAGTATCCCATCGGAGTTATAAATGCAAACGGCGTATTTCGATGTGACGTAAGAATAGCTGGTTCAAATATGACATGAGGTGATGGAATTCAGAACGCAACTACTTAATAAGTCTGTCGAAACACGTCAGTGTCTTCAAAAATTAGTTGGTGGTTTCAATTTCGGTTTCTTTTCATTCAATAACGTGTTTTGGTACTTTGGTACCTTTGGTGTTATTACCACGTAACAAAAAAGTGAATTGATTCATTCCACTTACCTAATTTACATGGAGGTACTTCGCATGATCGTATGACATCTGGAATAGCAAGTTGATGGGAATAACACAATGAACCTGCCAATTCACCATTATGTGACCAAGTACACAGAAGGTGTCTAGCTTGAACACCAACCCCACCACATGAACGTGAGCACTAAAATAAAAATGAATGTACTTTTTCCATAATATATTTTCAAGTAGCCCTAATTTAACTAGTGATACTTTACGACACAGTGTATAGTAAATAAGATACTGCGTTTTTGCTAATCTATAATTTATCTCAATTGTTTTTAGAATTAGAAAGATTGTAGCTGAATGAATCATATTCGAACTGCTCAAATCATTAAATCTTTACAGATTTATTGACGGATTTACTGTGGTTCATATACTTTATTTCTGTGAATAATTGGTTGAAAGCATCTGTGAAGAGATTTAACTCGAATTGGCCTTTTTGAAAACTTAACAGAAAGTATTTGATAACCATAACAACTTGTTGATTCATTGACTGAACAAAGTAATACACTGAGTGTTCGTTGTTTTTACCACTCTTACCATGATTATCTGTATTTGAAACATTGAAGAGTACGAGTTGAGGGAATATATTTTCTTTTCAATTAGTTTCTCGTCGTGGCTGCCCACTAATCTACAGGTTTTAAAAATAAGTATAAAATGAATACCGAATAAATGGTAGTTTATTAATTCTACAATTCACTCTTTGAAGAAGTAACTTAAACTAACCTGAGAAACATTAGACGTTTAGCTTTCTTTTCATTGGGATATAACCAAAAAGTTTTTTACTATTTTTACTACAAAGGTATCTCAATATTTTCTCTAAATATAGTAATCAGTTACTGAGGCAATGTATGCAAGATTTAAATGAAGACGAAATTACATAATTGACTGATTATTGCAGCTGGTTGCACAAGACTAAGAATAGGATTTGAATACATTTGAAATAAATGACCTTAATGTAAGAGTCTAGTATTATTTTTAGCAGTACTGATGAAACGGATGCATGGATAATTGGGTTGGTAAACCAGCTTACTTAGGACCATTAATCATAAAATTAGAAATTTAAGTTTAACAAAGTTAAGTAGTGTATGTATAATTTCTGGAAATCAAGTAGATGGCCAGAATCTATGAAATTTTAAAAATATTTCCATATACACCCAGATTATTTTTGTTCCTATGGCTTCTGATGTAGATAAGAGACGAAATCTCAAAACATGACAAATCTGATAGAAATTTCAAGGCTAACTTGGTATCTATTTTTCGACGAACACTAAATAAATACTCAAGAACAGAGTCTCATCGCTTTATCTAGGTTTTAGTAAACCTTGGAAGATGGTGTTAAGGAATGCGATGATGTATTTCTCTGGTTGTACAACGAACTCTACAGGAGCTTTTGAACTGGTAAACATGCATAGGGCTGGTTCTGTTTTCTACATTATATCTACATACACACGATAAGATTTTTGTATAAAGGCCCAATATCATTACGTTATCTTAAATTAGAAATTCTCTGGTTAACATTTAAGGGATCGGTTTGTATCAATAGTCAGATTAATTAGGTGACGACAAGAACAACTAACTTACTTGAGACCAATTACTAACATTCCATCGTAGTTGACATATAGGGTTTTCACATTCCATATTTGGTTTATCTAATTTATCGCAATATTTTGTGGCGACTGTTCTCTCACCAATCATACAGACTAAATTTCCACTAATTGAACCTTTACCGACATCCAAACACCGATCTGTACACTTGAAGTATTAAGAATTCATACAAAGAAATGGTTGAGTTAGTTTAAAAAAACAACTTCATGTTATCGACGAAATTTAAGTCGTCTAATATAAAGAATAAAAAGAAAGAAACATGTGCACCACTGAATCTGTGTTCAGTGTTCAAAGGTGAGTCGCTTAGGTTCAAAATTGAATGTCCTGAGTTCTATCACCTATGGCGGAATCGTACATGGGCAGTACGAATAAGGAACTTCCTAGCAAGAAACAGTTGTTCAGTGCTTCCTGATTTTCAATAGTGGCCTAGCTATGTTCAATCCGTGATTTGAATTATGAAAAAATAAATCTGGTAGTTATTTTCTAAAAGTATTTTATCTCACCAACACTGAAAATCGGACAAACAATGTGCCCTATTGATTAATAGTGTACAATGTAATGGATATTTCTGATTCATATTCTATTTCCGTAATATATCTATGTAGTTCAACTTCCTAAGCTTTTACGCGTAGAACAATTTCTGAACATACAACAAAGGTAACTAGAAGATCGGTCAATTTACAAAGTATTTGGTTGCAGATCGTGCTTCTGTACCTACTTCAATGTAAACGGATGTATAACGTACTCTGTTTCATTCACACTGTATCTTCAAAACCTAGAATTGATCTAATACTTGGTTAGAATTATAATTTTTTTTGTTTGCGAAAAAATAAAAGTTTTTGATAGGTATCCTTGTGGTGCATAAATGAGTAGGTTGTATTCAAAAACAATTTTCAATATGATATAAAAATTTAGTAAATTTGTTATCATTCGTAATTTTCTGTAGCACCTTTGTACCATAATTATGATTCCTAAGATATCATAATTATTTATCATTGATTTTAGAATAAATACTTTTCAGAAAGGGGATTTGTGGATATTATAGTAATTTAATAGTCAAGTTCATGAGTCAATTGAAGCTAGATTTGTTCTTGTAGGTTAACTAATTTCTCATAAATGTTTATAGATTATGTTGGATTGATTACCTTTAAATCATGAAGTTGTAAATAGTGTTATATTTACTGTAAACTTTGTTCCATTTTGATCGGAATTTAAAAAAAAAGGATAATCAAATAATTCATTGAAGTTGTTTTATAAGTCAGTTAGTTCATCTGTAAACATGACAAGAAATTTTACTTTCTTGAAGATATTCAATATTTTTGGAAAGTATTCGTTCAAAAAATTTCAATAGTTGAAATCATGAGTCGATCGAAGCTAGACCACCATGGAAAACCCAGAGGCACTGGACGGCCGTTTCGTTTTAGTATGGGACTCCTCTGCAGTGCACGTCAGCGATCCCGCCCCCGTGAGATTTGAACCCAGGACCTATCAGTCTCGCGCGCGAGCGCTTAACCATTAGACCACTGAAATTATTAGAATCTCCACAAAACCCCTTCCGACAAAAAAATTCTCTAATATTTTGAAAGCAATACTACATGATAAATGAGTTTAAAAATTTATTATTCTTAAATGTTAAAGAGAAAATTTCTTTTCCTGTGTATCAGTGTGGTTACAAATAAAATAAAGATTAAATATTCCGGTTTGTAACTGTCATTATCCATATATTTATTTGGTAATATGAGACAATATATTCTTATGTAAAAATTGATTGATGTTCATTCATTAAATTAGTTTTAATTCTATCTTGCTGTCAATAATACAAATCTAGGCCTATAAAGTTATGTCAAGAAGCTTGAAATATACTCAGAAAACATTATTAAAGTATTTAATTCAAGTATAGGGGTTGTAGAGATTACTAAGTTTTTGATTGAGGTCATGAACCGATTAATGTTAGACCACCACTGAAAACCTGGAAGCACTGGACGGCCGTTGGTTGGATGCCGGCTCAGTGGTCCAGTGGGTCAAACGTTCGCGCGCGAGACTGAAGGCCCTGGCCTCGAAGCTCGGGAGTGAGATCGTGGATGCGCACTGCTGAGGCGTCCCACAATATGATGAAACGGCCGTCCAGTGCTTCCAGGTTTTCAACGGTGGTCTAACATCAATCGTTCATGATCTCAATCAAAAATAGCCACTGTTATTGGTTTAATTCACTTGCAATACTATACTGTACATTATGGTAACTCACAACAGATGTATCACGGTTTTCAACGAACCATGTTGGACATTTGTTACTTTCTAAACACTTTCGTGTACTTGGTGGTTTTGGCAATAGCTTATCAATGCATACTTGATCACTCAGTATTTGATAGAATCGACTGTCAACTTTTTCACATCTGACTACACGAAATTGTTGTCCAGTTTGGCCACAACTTGTAGAACATGTACTCCATGGTCCAACAACCCACTGAATAATTTCATGGTTTATAGCTATTGCTTTAGGATCATCACTAAGCATACCTTTGGTCCATAATCTGTTTCTTTGCACCCAATCGTGGAATCCTGCTGCTGGAGTTCTAGCTGTTAGCGTGACTGTAGCATTCATTGAACCAGCTATGCACGTCCAGTCACCTTCGTCGATGAGACGGAAACTTCGGATGTGTAGTCTTCCCCGTTTATCCACCTTATTCTATCAGATATTGCTCCTGTATAGGCTAATATTCCATGGTTCGGGTTAGCCCATTGTAATTCTTGCGCTGTAAAATACTGTACAGGACAGCGTACGGTTACACGAGTAAATGGTATTACGAATGCTTGCTGGCCAACTTTTAAATCAATCACTTTCACCTAAAGTAGAAATAAATTACGAAAATATTTAGAACTTGTTAGAATCATTATTAAAAGAATAAACAGTAAAATGTGCTATTTCTTTTTTAAATGATTCGTTGAAATAGATTTGACAATAAAATTGGAAATGTTACCCTTGCTTAAACAACAAGTATCTGTGTGAGATATTTAAATAAATATACGATTAATATCTTGAGAAACAGATACACCACCGTATTTTATCTTGTAATTGCTATCGTTAATTTTTCCTTTCGTGGGACATCTCATGATCGCCACTCTTAGGGGAATTACTTCTGCAAAGTTCGTGGAAGACATTCGTGAAATGTATCAAGGTAACTAAAATATACTGGTTAATCGAATTCTAATATTCTATCAGGAGTGAATAATAAGGTAATCGATCAAATATTATTATCTGTCGACCAAAAGTAGTCATCTAGTTTATATTACAGGCTGGACAAAACTATTTTACTTTATGCAATTTTACACAACAAATCCATTGTGTATCTAGTGGTATAATCATTAAGTTCTATGGACAGGACAGTTCGGAAAATGTTTTCATATATTTACCAGTTGTGCATGATATCTTCCAAGTGTTCATATCTACAGTAAAAAAAGACAACTCCTTTGTTAAGCTTATATTTTGTCCGTAAGAAACATTTTGCCAAGTGTACAATATGACCATTAGGGCTGGTCAGACTTCCGAGGTAAGTGAAGTTGTCGACGCGTTCGACTACTTCACTCCCTATCCTTTGTTCAGGTGTTGCTGCAGACCAGTCCTGGAGCAACAACTTGCATTTAGAGGGAGAGAAGCGCGTATAGTCACAGACTGTAGTATTTCATGATAGTTTTATGAGTTTTCCAAGTTGAATGTTTGTATATTTTACCACAATAAACTAGCTTAATAAATATACGGATATTTATGAATTACTCTGTAAGGCTAATCAAAATGTTATGATTATTAGATTGCTACATATGAAGTAGTATAGCGGTTTATAATGAAATGGATTGAAAAAATCTCAGTTATGTACTAATTAAATTTTTTTTTCAGCAAATTTACATATTTATTCAGAAATTAGTTAGTATTTATTACTCTGTAGGCTTTAGCGTATTTGTGACAATTTGTCCTAATTATTGGTTGCTTTTAGAAAGCTACTCTGTTTATGATATACTGTTAAACTTAATCATTTCAGTTATTTTCATAGAGTATTAGGTTATGGGTAATCTATAGCCTGGATATGATAAATTCACATAAAGTCATATGTACATAAGAATTTATCAGTTCAAGATCTGATAAAATACAAAGTGAATATGCAGATCAATCAGACTTTATTGGATATTATTGAAAAAACTTAGAGTGATGTCTAATTAGTTGTTAAGAGCATTTCTCATCAATTTCCAAACATTGAGCGGTATAATAATGGAACCTGAAATATCTGAATAATCAAGAAATTATAATCCGATTAATTGTGTCTAGAATTTTACTACATTTTAATACAGCCAGACACAAAAAGTATACAAGTAGAAAAATTAAAGAAACTACTTTTCTCATCTGAACAATAGTTAAAGTGTCAGTATTAATCATTGGTGGTTTGCTGTCACATTTTCTTGAACTTTCTTCAAAGCATCGACGCCATGTTGGTTGAATCGTTTTCCCTGTCATATAGCAAGCTGCCATTGGGAGTTCGCGAAGTGATCCATTGACTTGTACAGAAATACACGATAATTGACGTACTTGTCTGCCTGGACGACATGGATCACTTTGGATACACTAATGAAAAAAATATCATTGCAAAAATTCTGATGTATATTTGTATTGCATTTACTCTTTAAATAAATAAAATAAGGTCACTTAATTAGACTAGGAACTGAAGGCGAATCAATTCTGAACAATATATAGAAGTAAGTAGTATGGTACAACTTATTAAAAACCAGTAATCTGTAAAAGTAATCACTGAGAAATTAGAATTATGACAAATAAAATGTACTCTTTCGAAGAACGTTTTCGGCGGTGGTTTTAAAAATCTGATTTGTCGATTTTATAATAATGTAATAAGAGTATACTAACTGACGTGCATTATTTGATAGAGATTCTGTTGTTTCTTTCGCGTTTCACTCAGCATGATTTAGTGAATATCGAACATATTTTCTGTGTCCTTATAAGATTTTTAGCCAGTCATATAGTATAACTAATTTTATTAAGAATTTAATCCATTCAATGAACTCAGTTATTGTATTTCCATGTTTATTAGCGTACAATTTCACATACAGCCCAAAGTAAGGCACAATCATAATAGTGTTTCATACGATGATAACATTCTAAATTTAATTGGAATTATCCTCTTGTTGTGACTAATTTGGTTGTATTTAAAGTTCAAACCGTAATATAAACCTGATCTAGTAAGAACAAATCCATTAGCTATCCTTTTCCCACTGTTTTATCATTGACCGGAAACAGTAGTTTTATGTTCAACGAAAATAAACGGTCTCTTCTAACGGCTCTTTAGAAAACTAAAATATTTAACGAGATTATACAAACACTGTCAACTATCTGACACAGTTTAGCTAACTAAAGATATTTAGGTTGATTATATGGGATACTTTAACATCACAGTCTTATTTCAACTGAGCTAGAATAATTGAACAACTACATATCTTCTTACTTAATCGCACAAAGCATTTCTATCTGAGAAAACGACTATATAAACATAAAACTGAGGTCATCAATTTATATTTTGCAGTATATTGAAAATTAATTTACAAAACGCATAAAAAGAACATAAATGACCGTAAGTTAACATATATTCTAACTAGCTAAATGGTAAGCTATTCAGAGACAACTGTTTCTTTTAAACTTATAGTTTATAACTCACCTTACCCCATTTTTCTGGGACAAATTCAGGCTTACATGCAAATCGATTGCACGATGCATGTCTCTCAGGTTGTCGATAATTACCACAATAATAGGATGCATCAAAATCTGATATCACAAGTTCACCATCTTTGCCTGAATAAACACACTGTACATCACGAGACATTATACCAAGTCCACCACATGTTTGTGAACAATGTCCCCAGTTAGATACTCTCCATCGATATCCTTTACCACACGGACCGAGTTTACATGCTCTTTGATTGTTTTCTGTATTCTGTGCACTTGGATTAGGTAAATGTTTACATTGTGATTCATCTAGCAGCGTCGTAGCATTGTAATGATCATTTCGAACACATAAAAATCGACGTGTTTCAACACCATCACCACATTCTTCAGAGCAACTAGACCAACTCTCCGAAGGCATCCAGAAAGGTGGAGTAACACTGGAAAAAAATACAGATTTTTATACCTAAAAATATGTAGCATATAGCTTAATAATTGTAGAGATGGGTGAGAAAAAACCAATCTGTATAGAGCGAGGAGTTTTTTCATGTGTTTTCTTATCAATTCCCAAGTAGTAAATATTAAGTGGATGAATCTCTAACAGTTCCATTTTGAGTGAGAAATAATTCCGAACAAACTTATTGATCTTCTTTTCAATCAGTCAGCACTACATATGAATACAGGTGCTAATAATTTCTCCTGTAATTTTATATCATTTCTTTTTGTCTGTACCTTTTCTCGGAATATATTTTGTCCCCAACTCATTCTTATCTATTAGAGTAAAATGTATTTATCAGAGAGCGTGAGAGAGGGGAGTATTTGTCAAACCAATTAGATAAGTTAGAGAATAAAATTGTAAAATAAATGTAAAGGTAGATTATTAAACAGTTTAGATGAATAATAGTTGTGGAAGGTATTTATCGAAACGATTATTTAACTATGTTCAGTCGAATAACCTATGTACTGAGTGTACAGTTGTTTATGGGGTCGTACAAATCTGTCATGATTTCTTCATTTTTATCTATTGGAAATGGTAGATTTGGGATTCCTTGAGATGTAACCTGAACTCAGCATACAAAGAAATATTTCCTGTCATTACCTTGGATTTATCAATATATGAGCAACTTTAGCTTACTTTAGCTCTTATTTTTGTGATAGGTGGTTCGAGTGAAATATTTAACCAAAGAGAAATAACTGTGTTTCATCAAACCGATCAATCAATAATTTAATTGATGATTTGAGTACCAACTGAAGAGTTAAGGATTCGGAATGATGTCCTTTAGCGTGTAGAACAAGTTCTAGACAAGGATGGAACTAACGTCCATAACTTCAATATTTCCTTTAGCTTATTTGATAATATTAGCTTGCAATGTAAAGTGTTGCACTGTATTCACTGATTTTACAAATTTTATTAGTTGAATTATTATCATCAATAAAGAAACATTTTTCCGATTTCCTTCTCTCTAAGTCTTGTATTTTTCCAAGGTAGATAATTAAATATGTATCCCTTTATTTGGAGTTTATTTTCCCGCAGAATAACAAGTTGAAAACTAGATAATGCTAGAGAGTGCTGAATAACTATTTCATATAAGTTGTGACTTCATACTAGTAAGTATTCGTGGAGCAATATGTGATAGAACTCACAATCTTCAGGTCGTTGTATTATTATTTATTACTAATTGTCTTTTTCTGACATAGTTTATGTGAAAACTTAAACTTAGGGTGGTTTCGTTGATTCATAAATTATTCTGTCACCAGTTAGATAATTTTTAGGATACTTAAGAAGAAATGAAGGAACGAATCGAGCGAAGAAACTTCTTTTCAATTAGTTTTCATCATGGCTCTACACTAATATATATGAAATTCATAGACAAACATATGAAGGAGATGAAAAGAAGGCCAAAGATACCTACCGTTCCTAAGAAAGTATTGTTCTTAAAATTACAATTCTTAAATGATACTACTGAGGAAATTGTGACTCAGAGATTGAGAAAAGCGGTACAAAAAACATATATTGCGGCCAGACTGAGTGCTATATTCTACAACCGCCCCACAATAAGAACGGCCAATAAAGATCGATTGCCTGGATTCGCTAAATCCATGTGTATTTGTCGATTCAGCTACTCCTGTGGAGCCAGTTATATAGGGCGTACAATTCAGCAAGTTCGTTACCGTATAACAGAACACCATCCGTCGTGGTTGAGCAAAGGACAGGTAAGAGTGATTAAGAGTCTTATTCTCCCTCATTTGGATGGCACAGGTCATCAAGTAGAACTGAATAAAGCTTTTAAGGTTACCTACTATGTGGCATCAAATTTGCCACATGGTTTATGAGTGCGTCTTTTGTTTATTGCTGAAGCCATTGCAATCCATGTTCACAAACTATCCTTTGCATCCAAAAGAAGGTTGTACAACCACGTTCGCTATCTTGGCCATCGGTATAGGGGTGTTTGTAGCAGAACATTGATAAACTATTTTCATACTTCTTCCATTTATGTTTTCTGTTTTTTGAACTTTGTATTTTACTTATTCTCAACATTGATCTCTGGATTCTTACATAACTATTATTCTACTGACCATTCATCAAAATATTCTGTTCGTTCTTTTTTTCATATATTATGTAACGTAGCAACTTCTTGATTTTGCGAATAATTACTTTGATTATTATTGATCCTATTTCTTCCAATTACTCAATGTTAATTTTTAACAGAAATGTTATTACGTAACGTATCATTAATGTAAATCATATATATATATATATATATATATATATATATAATAACGAAATGAACAAAATCTTTTCATTCATAATTAGCGGTACATCAAGTTTGATTCTGAGTAACTTTTGTTTTTCAAAAAAAAAAACAAATAAACAAACAAACAATCGATTTATTGTACACTTCCTAAAATTTCTGTCTGACAAAAAATGTATCGGAAGAGAATGAAAAAAAGAAACAAACTAATACCAACTAATGTAATTTTTCATAAATCTTTCGTACTAATTAAATTAATTAGCGGAAAAATTCCATAAAACACTAATTATCGGAACAGAAATTAAATGAAATCTTAGTACGTAACTATTTCATTTTATTATATGTGAAAATTACATGTGAAATAATCTCAGCGATTGAAATGTAAATAATTCCATAGTTTCGTCCAGCTAACTTGTCTATACTTCTTCAGGGTAATAATCTCGAAGAAGTCCAGATATTATGTAATGATCATTCTATTCTTTTAACTAATGAATGTTATTTGTCAAATTTGAATATTTGTTTTAATGTGAATTTTGAGGTATTGATAATATTCCGATACTTGTTTTAAATTAAGTCTTAGTTAGTAAATAAATATAGATTATATATCTTTTATTAGTTCCTATAAGAATCCTAATTGATTAGTATAGATAAGAGAGGAAGAAAAATTTGGATGCATTAGATACTTGTTTAATCCGAATTCGGGACATATCAAGTGTACTTACCACATTCACTGCCACCTCTAAGAATTCGCTTCAACATATAAGGTCAATAGTTTACAATGTATAGAACTTCTAAGCATGGATGAAGTAGATGTTCAATGTTTCTCGGTTGTCAACACTAATCAAATTAACATTATTTTCTGAAGAAAATGTTCTGTGAATGAAGAAAAAGCTATGTGAAATCCACATGATTCACTTAAAAAGACGATTCTCTCAGCCTGATTGCAAAATATGAATTTCAAAGAAAATCACTTACTGGATGAATTAGAAATAACCGCTACAGCCCTCTGGAGTTAATATTCAATAAACAATCATTAAAATGTTTGTCATCTAAATACCATCGAATGCATTAACCCATGAGCCTAACACTTCGTTTTATACTACTTATAAGTAGGTAAAGTGGTTTACCATAATTCGTAAAACGAAAAAATTCTCTCGGATTATTTTGAATAAATCGCTTTCTGTGATTCATTATTTGCATCCCCGAAACCATCCGTCCCGAAATTCCGAACAATCTTTCGGTTATTCTGAATTATTCTAACATAACCAATTATTTTCAAGAATCTGTGGATTTAGTGAATTTTTCTCAAAGTTCCGAAAGCTGAAATTATTCATACCAGTACTATATAAAATAATTATTTATAGTTTACTGCTGTTTTACGCATGCCAACAAACAATAACACCTTAAAATCTATACCGATTATATTAAACAATGAAATGAATAACGGAACTAATATACTTGAATGTTGTTCTGTGGTAAAAGTTAGTAAATGAAAATCAAAAGAACCCATTTGAAGTTATAAATTTCAATGGCTCTAACATTCGTATTTAGACAAGCCTTTAACGTCTAAGTATTAGGGTCGTTCCGCTTAGAAACTGCTAAATTTCTCTGTTTACAACTATTAATTTTGATATATATGAATCATGACCGCCTTATGCAATGAATAATAGTGAAGAAATCTTCCGAGTAATTTGCTGTGTATATCTAATGAATATTAACGATAGTAATATGAAGAAACAAGTTTGAAATTCTTTACTGAGCGATTGGTATTTTTTTACCCATAACTTTTAATTAGCAGAATTTTCATTTGTTCGGTGTAGTAAAGTGATCGCTCATCCACCGTATGATAATCTTTAAAACACACGATTCCGAAGTCTAAATTATTTTTATGTTCTGTGATTGTGGTTAAGACTTCTCAAGTGTAACCTGAAAAGTCGTGATAAATAGTATGTGATGCTACTTTCATCTATTTGACAATTCATCTTTTTGTTAAGGGCATTGAGCGAATCTTATAAAAAACAAGATTTGCAAGCCTTTGGAGTTAAGCTATATTTGGTCACTGACGTTTATATATTTGCCATGTTATTGTTTACTATACTGCAGTCGAAATATATATCATATTTTATTCGGCTAAAAGTCACAATCTTAATAGATGAAAGTTAGAATAAAGTTAATAAATAGAAGACATACGAATATGTAATTTATGTCAACATCTACCAGGATTTCATGGTAAAGCACATCCATAACATAAAATTATTTTAAATTTTTGTTAGTGGTGAAATAGATGATTTAACTCAACAAATCCTACTTGTTTACATTTGATTCCTAATTAGAAATGACAATAGGGATCAGAGTGCTTTCAAAACACACAAATCATTGTTTTAAGTTGTTAATATGTATTAAAACTTATTTGACTGATTTGTTTGAGGAAATTGGACCTAGGATTGGTGTAGGATGTCATAGCAGAGGGCACTTATAAACTTCCATAGGTTTTGATCCAAGTCTCATCACACAGGTGATACCTTTAGACTAGTGAGTTGGAATTCAACGATCCACATTACCGATTTCACTCAACTAACATCCTCTTAAAACCATGATTTCGTAAATAAAGCACTTCCTTACTGACGGTAGCAATTAATTTTCTGGATGTAGTGAATCGCCTCAGTGGTTCAACGATACCATGTTCTAAATTCCTTCTTTTAAATCTAGTGTGAATTCATGAGTTAAACAGGCCGAAATTATGATATGCTTACAAACGGCTCTCAAGATGATGACATATAAATATGAAAAACGTCATACTGAAACTCCTTGAGGGTGAAATTTAGTCTCGGTAACTAATAGACATTGTAATCTTTGAATAACCCTTATCCTGATTTGTAAAATCAAAAAGTTTTTCTTTTCTGAAAGCTACCTAACTTCAACCAAACCCATTTTATGTGAAGGTAACTGAATATCATTAGCTTGTCGTACTGAGTATTGATACAATATAAATCAGCTCAATGATTTTGAATAGAAAATACAAACGGTCTCATTTAGTACTTTTTATTCTACTGTTTTAACTCCGCCTGGAGCCCCTGAGGCGACTGCCGGCCCCAAGTGGGTTAGGCACGGGATTAGCGACCTCATCCCGTAGAAAACTAACCCACTAAAGAGTGCTAATTTCTCTATTTTACCATTATGTTTGACTTCAGATTTCTTAGCAGCTATTTGTTAGAAATTCGACATTTAAGAAGAAACATAACAAGTATTTTTAATCCATATGAATAAAATGAAGAGTCACTGCATTTCTGATATAATCCTAAGCAGTAATTAGTTTAAAAAAAACATTCAAATTTAGTTTAACACTACTTATGAAATAAATTTAAAAAGTCAGTATTAAATTTAGTAAGGAAGCCAATAAAACATACAGAAAATAATAATATCAATAACGATAAACCTAGTTGGTGCTCTTTTAACCATTTTTTCCAGGGGTTAATGAAATTCAAGCCTCCAAATAATCAATTCTTTGATTAGCTCATTTTGATACTCTTTTTAAAAAAATTGGTTCGTGTTTTTGTATTCCAATAGATGTATGTATCTAGTTTACTTAACAGTTTTTAAAAGTCTAAAATCTTTTCTAGCATTTGAAAAAACAAATCAGTTCTCAACTTATTGATGAGGGTTATTCAATATGCTTCTTAAAACTTTCATAATTAGCAACAAAATATAATGTTTTAATCAGTTGTTCATTTATTGCCATCCACTTTTCAGTTAAATTCAAATGTGAGATAGTTGTCATGACAATTTTTACATTTTCAAAACTATTCAATGATTGAAATTATATTTCCATAAAGTACTTGTTTTTGTAATTTTTCACTAGAAGTTAAGTAATAAAATCAAGAAATAAACTTTGATTGTTCTTTAGTAGTTTAAGATGATTTTCAATAATGCAACTTACATAATAAAACAATTTAAAATCTTTCGAAAGTATACTATAATGGAGCCAAACTAATATATTAATTCAATATCCTATCCAAAACAGAAAAAAATGATCTTGATTTCTTTATTGTCACTATGTTATGTTCCAGCTAGAAAATGTCATCGTAATTGAAACATTTTTGTAAAAGTTGAAAACATTCTTACGTTTAAGAATCGTGTTTTCAAGGGATTTAAACAACCTACTTGCATATTGGACATCGACAACGGAATACAGATATGAATAATTTTTTTTTCAATGTTTTAATTGTTATCATGAATACTTGTATACCTTAGGATATGTCTAGAATTCACTTGACATAGAATTTAGACATTAAAATATTTCTATTAAATGTTTTGCTTAAAATTCACTGAGTTTTTGGTTGACAGGTACATATCGTGATTTAGTGCTTGTTAGTGTTGCAAATAATTAAGGTTTTGTGTTTCTGTAAAAATTATCGTGATTTTTTATGGAGTTTGTGTTAAAATTGTATGTTATCAGTATGGGACTTTGTGGGGAATAAAGTATTACAGCAGTTGAATTCACGAGTCAATCTAAGCTAGAACACCGTTGAAAATCTGGAAGTACTGCACGGCTGTTTCGTCCTAGTATGGAACATCTACAATCCCCTCGAAGCCCCATACTGATAATAATCGTGTGCTCACTGTTGACTAACTTCAAGTTGGGTTTTCTGGAGTTCTAGTGAGAAGTCTTATCCAGTGGATTCCGTGTCGGGTATGGGACAGTTATCCACCTCAAACAATGAATGAAGGTTTTCGCAAGAACATGGATCGATTGAAGTTAGATTTTAGTGCCGTTGGATGCTGGCTCATTGGTCTAAAGAGTAGGCGTTCGCGCGCGAAACCGAAAGACCTGAGTTCGCGTCACGAAACGACCGTCTAGTACTTCCAGGTTTTTAATGGTGGTCTGGCTCAGCTTGACTTGTGAATTCAACTGTTGAAATTGTGTGTTTGAGAATAATACGTTTTCGTGTAATCGCTTAAGCTGTTATTTAGTTACCCAAACAAAATTAAATGAAGTAAATGCACATAAGTCATGTATTTTATCCCATAATGCACTACTTTACGACGGTTATTCACTCTCAAAGTGATTCATATTTATAAATACATTCATTTTAGGATGAAATTAACAGGTTTAATCCCTTGAACTGTATATCAACAGGTAGAAGGAGATTTCTAAAAGTATGGATTGAATACAGTGAAATAAATTCGATTAAATAAAGATCAAAAGTTAGTTAGTGGAGAACATTTATTTTACCAGCTTTTTACGTTCAACTTGAAGAATTTTCCATTCTATCCTCAAAGTAGAAGATATGACGTATCAAGGTATTCATTTTTAAGGATAGTAGATGCTATGTTCAAATTGTCACAAACTCATGGATCTCAACTATTAAAATTACTATAATATCCACAAAAACCCCTTCTGATACTAACCAACATATGCTCACTGATGACCGGCTTCAAGAGATATTTGCTGGGGTTCCAGTGAGAAGCAGTGACCAGTGGAGTTCAACCGGGTCTGTTGTGAGATAGTATTTCACTGAAGACAGTGGTGGATGTGTCACTCAATTTCGTGGATTAGTTGAAGTTAGACATTAACATCGTTGGATGCCGGCCAGCTCAGTGTTCTGGTGGTTAGGCACTCACATGCGAGACCAGTAGGTCCTGGGTTCGAATCCCGCAAGACGGGATCGTGGATCCGCACTATTGGTGAGTCCCACAATAGGACGAAACGGCCATCCTGTGCTTCCAGTTTCTCCATGGTGGTCTAACTTCAATTGACTCATGATCTCAACTATTAAAATCACTATAATATCTATGAAAACCCCTTCTGATACAAACTATATGGTTTAATAAACTTTCAAAAACTAGATAAATAAATTTCAATTACTATTATTTACGAAAACTGATTTATTACAAAATATTATTAATAATATACTAAGTAAAAATGAACTTACATTGCTGATATTTCCATCAGAATCAAACTCACCAACATTGATATTATAAATGACTTTTTAATTAAAGAACCATTTATTGAATGATTAATTTTCTGATATGAATATAAAGATCCTTTTATGGGATATTTCCACTGAAACATTATAAATATATTAAGTGTTCTTTTCAGTTTTTCCATAATTGAGTATAGAATTGACTCAGTGTTTAATTGAAAATACATTATTCTAATGATCAACAAGAAGAATTCAATTATATCTGTTTTGCTAGTGTTTGTATACCGATCTTTTCTACAAAATGAATGAATAAAGATCAAGAAAAAAGTTATTAAAACTTAAAAGGAATTTATTGTTTGTATTCGTTGAAAGTTTCTGAATGAATAGAAATGCGATAGAAACTTATGAACGTTTTATTTGCTTTTTTTAGGAACCGAATAAGTGGTTTTTGAGATTATAATGGTATGTATATATTTTTTTGCATGCCGAATAGCTTAGTGTTAACGTTTCAAATCCTTCTGGAATCATCAGTCCTCTCAAGAATTTTAACGAGTGCTAACTTGCATGGAACATAGATTCAGAGTTTCCTAGACACTCTCTGTCTTCCCTTAAACTAAGAGATTAAAATTGCTTGATATCTTTCTTTCTATGAACTAATTATTTCTTCATGTACTATATCCTTATTGCAATCTTTCTTTTATATATTACCACCTCTGAATTAACTACTTTTATGAATCCGGTGTCCATCTTGTTGTGTTAATGAGGTATGGCAACTTGGACCGATGCATACATGTGCCTGGTCCTACGTTGTAGCCGACTGACTGACTTCCTAGACAAGCTAACAAATATCGTAATGAAATTATTACGATTCAGCTAAAATTAAAGACTTCTAAGTGGATTCATAAATAACCGATTTCTAACTATACTTTGATGACTGCATGTTCACATGTTAGTTTTTTAATCTTTATGAATAATGAAATTGTTCGCTATTATTCAATAAATCGTGATTACCCATAGGAAAGTTAGTTCAGTTCTACTTAGAAAGAACACTGAATTCTTTCAGCAATATACATTTATGTAGTTAATTCAGTAAATAAATAGGTTCAAAAATACTACTTGATTCTTAACTAAAATGGATATATGAAGCCTAGATAATTTCATTCAGAAGGCGAAATTTATAATGTATTTTGAATTGTTGAGATACTCATATATGATAAGCGAAAATGTCAAACTCGAAAGATATAGAAATATAGTAAAAGAAGAGTAAAGAGAAAAAAACAATATAAAGCACAGCACTATGGATATTAAATGTAGATGAATATAATATTTCGGCAAGCTTATTGTTAGTTATATTGATCTAAACTGTCTTTTATAGTAGAAGTGGATTATGGTTGAGGGTTTAATGCAAAACACTCGTTTTGTCCCATTTGAGACTCGTCAGCAGGATGCGCCTGCATCTACTTTGATATTTACATTGGGAATTGAACCCCACAACCTTTCGTTTTAAATGCTGAACAAAAGATACACATATAACAATTGAGATTGATCATAACTTGATCGACAATATCAGAAACGGCACCACACAAAATTATTATAAATTGGACTTGTGACCTTCGTTCTTCTTTGTGCTTGGATCCGTCTAGTTTTATTATTTTATTTCTCATATATAAATTTCTTTACAAGTTAATGCATGGTCAAATTACTCAAACTATACTGCGCTAATATACATTACGTCAATTATTTAAATTAGATCTCTTTATTTAATGATTTCAGATTATTTAAGCTCATTACATAAAGTTAGTTTAATCACTAGTAAAAAGCATTGGAGAATTAGTGAATATTGAGGGGTATTCAATAACTGTTACCTTTCATTTTAAGACTTTTCAGTAGTATGGACTCATGAAATTAAATTTATAAAATTTACATTAAATATTATTGCATATTATTATATTAGTATCAGAAGGGGTTTTGTGGATATCATAGTAAATTCAATGGTTGAGATCATGAGTCAGCTGAAACTAGACCACCATGGAGAATCTGGAAGAACTGGACGGTTCAGTGATCTAGTGGATAGGCGCTCGCGCGTGAAACTGTTAATTCCTGGGTCAAAATCTCGTGGGGCGGGATCGTGGACGCGCTCTGCTGAGGAGTCCCACAATAGGACAAAACGTCCGTCCAGTGGTTCCAGGTTTTCCATGGTAGTCTAGCTTCAACTGACTCATGGTCCCAACCGTTGAAATTATTATTATATTGTTTACTGAACCGATTATCATTTCTTTAAAAAAGTTTCATGAAAAATAAATTCACATAATTCAAATCATGATTTTGGCAATCGACTGTCATGATACCATGTAACTTTTAGAAAATGTATATATACTGCATGAGAATAATTACATTTAGTGAAGAAACCAAACAAAATTTGTATGACCTTTAAAAATGTAGACCCTGGAAAATTCTTTAAATTTCTAAAAAAATTTCATCGATTATCACAATCACTGCTTTGTGAAATTTGTTGAGTATATTTTTGAAGATATAGTCAATCAGTCAATTAAAAAGAACAAGAAATAGTCGAGGGATAATATGTAATGTAATTTTCAGCTACCCTGATATTCAAGTTTTACTCATTAGGGAAAACGTTTTCACACTTCTTTATTATACTTTTGTATAAAGTTTGAATTAATAAACTACTGAAAAAATCCATGATGTGATCTATCGAGCACAGGTTTGTGCACTCGAACTTCAGTCATAGTTAATATTTAGGGTTAGTAGAACTATTTAGTTGTACATACTGTAGTAAATGAAATAGGATTCGAAATTCATACATGAAAGTTGAAAATCTCAACTATTAAGACGTAACATATGTCGGTTATTATTCAATTCGGAAAACTTTACAGCAGCAATTATTCCTTAGTTAAAAATCTTGAACAATATCTTCATACTGTTGGTAATTCAATCAACTTTTAAGCAATTTTGATTATTTCCGTATGTTATTTCAAATTCATAAAGACGACGAACAGGTGATGATACTTTTATGCTATTTGTATAAATTACAGTGAACCAGTCAAAATGTATGTATATAATCTCAGTTATTACTAGTCATGGAAATGCGCAATATATTACGGACTTAACAACTAGCTTATTCAGAATAAATGTGCCTAAATTGCTGTAAGGTATTGGAAGGTCAATGTTCACACAAGTTTTGTCGGTATTCAGGTACATGGCTTAAGATAAAAGCCCAACATATACGAGTTAATTTTTTCAAACACCATAGAATTAAGTAAGTAGTCTTTTTTTGCAAAATTCACACTTATTTATCACTTATGTCATTTTAAGTCTAAAGCCAATACTATCAGTATTTTCCTTGTTTGAATTCATAAAGGAAATTTTATTTCAGGTATGATTTATTCGTAAAGTACGTTTTGTAAACAATATACATAAAATAACTGGATAACAAGTTTTTATCGGTGACTAAAACCTATGTATGATTGTGTTACATATTTTCGGCTAGCGGATATCCAACATGCATCAATCCTGCTAAAACGCAATTGTTGAGATTAGACTAAAATCTGGACATTCTCACTACAATAACTTTTGAAAATATTTTACTCTCAACTTTATTAAGTCAAACACCACTGATACAGCACTGTGTAAATGAAAAAAATGTGTAAGAACGGCAGTTTGCTGCCGACAATGATCATTAGTTTTATAATATGAAAACTAATAATTAGTAGAAACATAACCCTCATCTATACATGATATTGTAAAATATCTTTATTATAATACATAACTGAATCTTACGTAAATGAATATTTTATGCGTTTACAACAAACCATTTCTGTTACATCCTCAACAAACTTTTTTACTGTTAAAAGCTAATTGAGCTTATATCTTAGCTTTGCTCCCGTTATACGTGATCGAGAGCATTGTCGTTTGTCTCAAATATAATTTTACCAACAAAATTCTCTGTCGAAAATTTCTTCATTATATAAACTCAACTTACTGAATTACACATAAAGTAAACTATACAATTAAAGTTTCTTTTATCAATTCAGAAAATTGTGATACTACTTTTCGTTTTCAAAATTCTTAACTAAATCTTGATTAAGTAAACGAATATATATAAGCGGTAGGTAGCTTACATTATTATATACAGTTTTTCAAAGTATATTATTTCAATCATAGTCCTACTATATAGACAGGGGAATAAATTTCGTTGCAAACTGATATACATAGAATGATCGATGTAATTCATAGAATATTGATTACACCAGTGCGCTGAGTACTACTGGTACGGACAAATATATGTAGTATTTATCAGGAATTGAAAGTATAGTGAAAAGGAAAGAACGAGAAATTAAAAATAGTCGAAATAACGATATAAATGGTAGGGCAATGGAGTTTGTATGGAACAACTGCAAATCAGTGTGTAATTTTTCACACTACAGTACATTGGTTTACTATAACCAAATTTTCGTTCATTACACTACTTCTTCCTAACTGATGAAATTCGATCAGTAAAAGTACTTAGGTTTGAATAGATGTGATATAGGATATTTATAGGTGTATAAGTTTTATCATTAATTTTGATAAGTGAAAGAATTGATAGTAGAAAATCAATACAACAGAATTGATGAATAAATTCAACAAATAAGTGCAAGTTTTAAATACCGAGAGGATGTTGAATATATTTAATGGATCTAGAACTTTTAAAATAAACAAATACAATGAGCATCTCATTCACATTTCTCTTCACATGTTTTTTTTTAATCTGAACTATCTGTGGAGAAGGAAATCGTGACTAGCCTGTCATTGCCCTATGTAGCTGAAACCCTAATCATAGAAAGTGTTATTTGCTAGATAATTACAATAAATCTACCGACATTTGCTCTTCAAGTTAACATGATTTTTACAATTTTTTTTCAAACTATTAAACCAATTTCATTTATTGTTAGACTGGTTACTTGTGTCTCTGAATATCTTTAAATTGGTTAAATCATACCCATAGAAGTCTACTTCAATCTGAATTACTTTATTGAATATCATATTTCTAAGTTTAATTATCTTGATCTATTATCTCTTTTATTTCAAACTTCCATTCTCAATTTCATCAAACGAACTACATTATTTATTTAATTGTAATCTTAATACAATTGATTATGAACTGAATCTTTTCACAGTAAATGAAAAGCTTCAAATATCAATAAAGTTTTACTTTATTTTAATAAATATTTCTATGATTGAACTATTTCAAACTTAAATAAACATGACATTAGTTAAACTGAATCAATAATCCC